GGTGATTATATATTGGTTTTATGTTTGTGTTTTTATTACAAAGTTATTTTGGACCATTTCCATGGCATGCCTATGTATATGCTGGTTCCAGTGACAACTTCTAAGTGAAAGTAAGGGCTCTGCTGTAAATCGGGCTTTGACAAAACTGGGTCCACCTTGGATTCCACTGATGGATGTTCACTTGAGAACATGACAAAGGACTCATTACATGACAGATTTACTGTAGAATTGTCTGTTGAAACAGAACCAGGGAACGACTTTATAAGAAACCATCAGGTATTGCTTAAAAGCTATTTTCAGTTTAAACTAGGATATGGTGCTGATACGTTTTACAGTAAATGGTATGCTTCAGTCTTAAAATGTGTTTTGCCAACTTCCTTCTGTAAGGAAAGCAATTATTTTATATCTGTTTTAGAGATTGCCAGTTTATTTGTGTGCATCTTGAGGAGTTAGAAATTTTCCTTTCGCAAGCTGGTAAAAATTTGTCTTTGTCGACCAGGTAACCTTTGCTATTTAATACCACTTAATACCCAGATATGTGCATTTTCATAAAGTGACATGAGCTTGAAAAAATAAAATTATAGGGGCGCCTGGCTGGCTCAGTCGGTAGAGCATGTGACTCTTGATCTTGGGGTCGTGAGTTTGAGCCCCCTTGGGTGTAGAGATTACCTTAAAAACAATCTTAAAAAAAGTTATATTGAAGAGTTTGAGGTTCTGGTATTTTATGACGAAATGAAAGTGTTCACATGTGCAGGATACTGCACTCTAGTGGCGTGGGTGAAAAGTAGCACTGCTTGCTATTACTTTGTTAACCCTTGTGAGTTTTCCCTGGTACGACCACCATGTTCTTTCCAGAGTAATGAATATAAGCACACAGTCTTTTGGGTTTTTTTCCGGAGGTAAGGAAAAGCCATATGTTGCATGGCACTCTGCTCAATAAGTTCATATTTTGAACCAAAGCCTATTTTACGGTTCTTTCTGAAAGTAATTCTCTGTGCGGACGGAGGTTAGCACAGAGTTCCTCAGATTGCTGAATTAATATGCGTATTGTGAATACTTGCTAATACAGTAATATCTGACGTAGACCTGTAAACTGGCGTTGACTGGCAGCCGTCACTGCCAGCACCAGCAGCACTACTCCTGTTGCTCCCACCATTTACTCAGTGCCCGGCACTGCTTTAAGTGCTCTGTGTCTGAGCTCTTGCAACTCTCTCCACTCCCAAGAGGTACGTACCACTTTTGGCACCATTTCCAGCCGAGGAAACTGAGACACAGAGAGATGTAGCGCTTGGCCTCAGGTCCTCCAGCTGGTTGTGATCACACCGGGATTTGCCCCCAGCTGCATTACAGAGTGGTTGCCCGTAACCAGAGTACTGCAAATGCCTCGCCAGGGAAGCTCCTTAAGCCTGTTACAACTCAGTCTCCAGCAGTTCAACAATAAGTTCATTGATAATTAGGGTATCCATGCAACAGGAGAGCAAAAATTTGGGGGAACACGGAATTTCATTTGTTGAGCCCCTTTCTCGTGATTTCATCCTATTTCTGTCCAGATAACATGACGAAGTTCTATGCTTTTGTTTTTGGTGCATGGTTGCATATGCATCACGTACCGATGAGGCATCTCGTGAGCTGAGTAAATAATCCATTCTCCTGCTGTTCCACTCGGTATATAGACGGCGCTCTGTGGCTCCTGATGTCCTTCATGTTGCATATCTCCATTAACGGCTCATTGAGGCTTCGTGGCGTGAATATAAACCTGGAGTCTGAGCTCAGCTGGTGCCTAAGGAACACCGCAAAGAGCGCCTTTGTCATGCCTGTGTGTGTGTGCTAGCCCTGTGAGAGCCAGCAGGCTGCCGTAGAGTTTGGGGATTGGCACTTGCTCTCCATTCATCTCCAGCATCATTTCCTTTCATGAGAAAACATGGCCTTGTTGGGAGCAGTCTGTGTGTTCCCTTTGGACTGTGGCATTTCCTGTCTGGGGTACTTCTGTGTTAATCCTGTGGGTGTTGCCGTTCCTTTTACCTGCAGCCTCTCGACGTCATTCCAGGTCCACTAGTGCCCTCTCCACTGCTGAAACTGTTGGGCAGTCAGGTGAACAAGTGCTAACTGCATGCCTTGGCTTCTTCATATGTTCCAGTTTCGCACCCATTTTCGCATTTGTTTTCATCAGTGTCGGCTAGCACTTGGCATGTCCGCCCTTCATATTTGTTTTCCCCAACGTGCTTTGATTTTTTTAAGTTGTTGAATGTTTATGGTTCTGTTAATAGGCCGTAGATGCTTTATAGCCTTTTGACAACATCATTTCTCCAGTGTTCATGTTTATGTGAAAACAAAACAAAAACACGGGGAGGGGCTTCTACCCCTCTTTTGACTCCCTCCCGAAATAGGAGAACAGTCACCGGAAATAGGTATCCCGAAAAGTCCCTGTGGGGAAAGAGGGGATGGAGGTCCCCCGACAGTCTTTCATTTCACAAAGGCTTTGCTCCCAAAAAGTGTTGATTACTGATGTTAATTATTAGTGTCAAGTTCTGATTACTTGGAGGAACTGTTTAGTTACTAAATGTTCCAAGTCCTAGCGTGCATGATTTCATATGTATAAATATTTGTCCTAAAACTTTTACGGAAAAACAAGGTCACGATTCAGGTAATCAGGTCAGGCGGCAGGTAGCCTTTGCAGCCTGTGGTCCCCAAATGTTCCGTCCCAGCCCGCTTTAACGATACCAGAAGTGCCCCGGTCAGCCATTGGGGCAAAAAGTAAGCATACTGAAATGCATCAGTTTGCTGGATTTAACTGACATCATTTTTATATGATAACTACAGTTTTCTTACCTGAGTAAGGCATTATGTATTAAATCACAGCCTGTTGATGGGGACAACTGTCACCAATTCATGGAGTTATTTTCTCTGTTCTTCCTCTAAGCGAAGCGAGCTATGCTTTTTATTATGCACACTCTGAAGGGTACAGTCCCCTGAAAATCAGGGGCCAGACTGAGGGCACAGTCACACGTATCCATCTCTTGGGAAATGGAGCTTCATCATAACATCAGAGCAGTGAGTGTAGAACAGACTTTGCTCTGGTGAAAACAAAAGGCTTGTAACTTTGCTCAGATCCAGACAAACATTTCCCCTTCAGATTTGAAATTCAAATGATCTATGATATATATCCAGTGATCTGCAGTCACTGTGTATGGCAGAGCTGTACGCATCTGGGAAGCACAGAATAATTGCATTGTTCTTACAGTTTTAATTTTCTGTCAAAAAAAAATCAGTATTATCCCTGGAGCAAGAATTGCTGGCATGAGATATACTTTTTTTTTTTTTAATTTTTTTAGATTCCGTTTTATTTAAGTTTATGCTGGGTAATTTTTAAATGGCTTACAACTGAAGTATTTTCATTTTGTTACTCATAAATCCCTTACTATCTACCCTTTTTTAATGGAAAAAAGACTTGAGCAAAGATGTATAAAACCATATGCACAGCAAATCTCAAATTTACACTTGTTTCATATGTCAACTGATTACATATATGTATATATGGGGAGAGATCTAGATATAATTGCTTTGTGGTCTCTTAGTTTATATGGCACATTTAATCATCTTTTAAACAGAACGGCTAAGATAACATACAGTGTGACCAACAAGTGCATTAAAAAAGGGGATAGTATAACATACAATTTTTGTTTCTTTATAAAAATTCATGACTGTATAACGTTTTGGTTAGCAGTGTTTAAATATTTTCCCCTTTCGGTGGCGCTGGAAGGTGTAATTTTTGAAATTGACATTTTAAAAAAGCTAAGTAACACCTCACTTTTAGAGTTCTTGTTTTCTAAAGAACTCTTGTTACATATCTAGAGTTTTAAATATATCACTTTATAAGAAAGATCAATTCACGTAAAACAGATTTAGCTTTCCTTTTATTCTAAATGCTTCATTATGGCTAATAGAGAGGGGTTTTGTTTTTTTTTTCTGTCCAAATAGTGTCTTACTTGTTCACAAAAAGAAAGCATTTTTTATCTTAACATTTTTCTTCAAAGGTTTTTTAAAATACATTAGGATTTTAAATAAGAAATGCTTGCCAGTAAATAGTATGATACACTTAGGGAGTATAATTTATATGAACTTTTTCCTGTTATAGCTTTAACTTCAGCTCTTCTTAAGGAAGGCTGCTCTCCTGACGTAATGGGGCTTTTAAAAAGCTAGTCTTCATTGTCCTTGATCCTTAACAGGCTTAAAATTATTGAACTGCTGAAATCTATTTTAAATTCTTTGGATCATACCCATTGTGTTACATGTTTAGACTATCATTTGAAAATCCTTTGAGAGACTCAGGAAAAATGTATACTACTGTTATCTGAATGATTAATGTTTTGCAGTGAAGATGCTAGCATTTTGTGATGATCATTGAAGAATTTTAATAAACTGATTTTTAAATAACCTTTGGTGACACAGGCATCATGAACAAATGCCAAAAATTAATTGAGCTCAGTTAATGACAGTTAAACAGTCGTGACACTAATGAAAATTTGCAGAGATCAATTGAATGCATTTGTTTCAAATTTTAACTTTTTATTACACATTGCATTAGAACTCTGTCGTCAAACCGTGAAGCTTTCTAATCAGTTTGACCAAACATCAGGGCCAGCTTTGCTCCAGAGGGAACACTAAATAGATTTAAAAACTCCGCCCATAGCCCTGCTCACTTCTCTAATAAGTTCCCCTCTCTCTCTCCCATGTCTCAACACTTTACAAAAATAAAACATTAAAGAGCCATTTCAGTTGTTAGGATGCTTTGTGGCACGACAGTATTAAATATGGAACAACCTCACCTCTGCCGCCGGTAAACAAGTCTAGTTAGAACTGTAAGTGAGGGGTAGTTCCGATTGGCTAGAGACTTTCCAGTGCCTCTGTCCAGTAGGTGGGAAGAGGCAGGAGCCCTTGCAAAGAATTGAGAAAATTTGAATTAAAGTGACATATCTTTCGGTTTTGTTTTTCTTAAATAGACCGGTTTGGGCTTGGCCAGGCAGGAAGAATACCTGGCTCTGTGAATGCCATGCGAGTTTTGAGCACAAGTACAGACCTTGAAGCTGCTGTTGCCGATGCTTTGGTAAGAGTCTCAGTGTGTGCAGTCTCTTTGACTTACTCAGCCACGGTTTTCTCTGTCTTACCAGAAAATCGCCTCCAAATCAGGGTACTAAATCACCCTGGGCACTCTGTAAAATTGTGTAAATACTGGGTAAACTGATATTATTATCACTTTCTCTTTAAAATTCTATCCCTGTACCTAAGTGAAAATTGGCCCTATACAAAAAATACTTGCGTCAGGTGTTCGTTCTGTGCTCCTGTATCAAGGAAGTTTTGATGGCATTGGGCTTCTCTGATGTCATTGGGCTTCTTTTTTTTTTTTCCCCTTTTTCTCCATTTTTTTTTTTCCCCCAGCATTTCCTTTTTTCATTCTCCTGCTTCTATTGCTTTACAGGTTCTAATGGCATAGCCTAAACATATCATTATAATAGTAGGTAACAGAGTTTGTTGTTTGAAAATCTCGCACTGATTCCATGACCACACTAGTAGTTCCATGCGATTTTACCTTTGTTTGTCTTTAAAAATGAGTCCTTATTTAAGGAAACTCCTAAATTTTAATGCCAGTGAAGTCTGAGGATATAAAGCACTGGTGGAATATGTTTTTGCCTCATTATAATGGAATATCTTGAAAATATATATATAAAGTGATTAGAGGTCCTTCAATTTGTGGTCAGATTGCTTTTTAAAGATGTATTTCAGCTGGTAGTGACACTGCCTCTAGCATATTCTGGTTGATGTGCTCAGCATTTAAAATAGATCCCCTTTAGAACTGTCTGATCTCTGGCCTTGCTTGTGCTGTTTTGAGATATATTGTCTCTGTGAGGAAAAACGTATTATAACATCCTGCTTTCAGACCCAGAGGTTTTAAACCCAGCCCTGTTTTTCATCTGATCAAAATGTCACAGCCTGTGGCTAACAGGGATTCTCACTTTCATCCCATCCTGTGTCGCCCTCATTTATTCTTGCTCAGTCAGATTTCTTTGACAAGCGACTGTGAGCAAGCAGTTTGCCACTCTCCTGATGCTTTTCCTGTAAGCAAGGGCTGCCTGGCCAGCTCTATTCATCAGCCTTCTGTGTAGAAGGGCTTTTTTTCCTGGCAGGTACTGGAGTTCAGGATAATTGCTCTAACCATGGCTTTGACTTCAGAGTCATGAGCTGGAACGGAACTCTGTGAAGCTATTTTTCTTTCCAAGCTGCAGCACTGAGAATCTGTCTCTTATTTATTCAGAGACCCCATTAGGAGGTCAGAGGGGTGGGAAATGATGGATGTGCAAAACCCTTAGTTAAATGGGACTTCCAGTTAAGACGGGGAGTTCCCTCATTCTTTAAAGAACCGCCCAAGGGACTGTGCACAAAGTTCTAGGAGGCAGAGTCGGACTTGAGAACTTGAGCTTGGGCTTTCCTTGACTCGGGCTTTTCTCTGAGCTCTAGCTCTCAGTCCACTCAGGCTGCCCTTATTACTCTTTGTCCAAACTGCTTGGCCTCCCCGAGTGACCTGCTGCGGAAGAGAGAGCGCAAGAATGGTACATAGTGTTTGCCTCCCAGGGTAGAAGCCCCAGGGGCAGACAGAATCTAGTGTAGGAGCAGACAGGAGAATTAACGGTGACTTTCGGGATGTACCTCGGTGATGTGGGAAGAGTTTTAGCATAGCAAGAAGTGTAGCGAGTACTGGAAGGCGTTTCTAGGAGGTGTAGGAAGGGCTAGGTAATGCCATTGTGAAAGCGTTCTGTTATTATTCACTTGATATGAATCGCTTGCTAACCTGTATTTTTGGTTTGCTAAGATATGTTTTGCTGTACACTTTTGTTGCAAGAACAATCCCCACATATGCTTCTGACATAATTCTCTATGCTTTTTCCCCATCCTTCAATATTTTCCTGCCTACAGCTGTTAGGAGACTCCAGGAGCAAGGTACCAGTGCTTTTAACTTTTGTTTTACAACTTCATTTTTTTCTGTTGCGAGAATATTTCCTTTAGGGGCTAGTGAAAGCAACAAAGCATGTAGCGTAATTAGAAATTCTGGTCTGAATTATGATTTTGTCGAGTCTAGTGAAGCTGTTGTTAGTGATGGAATAAGTCTCCTCTCTCATCTGTTTTAGTGGTTTTCTTTTTTTTTTTTTTTGAATCTCAAGCTCTACTCCTTCTATCAGTGTTTTATTTTATTAACCCAGTTTGTGTCTACTCTCAGTGTCATTACTATTTCTTGAATGGATATATTCAACATTTTTCTTATTTTATAAATCTAGTTTGTATATATGTATATATATATTATATAAGATGATTCTATAATTTATCATTCTAACAAGGATACTTCTGAAAGTGAAAGGGGGTGCTACTTACTCATAACTCTGCTGGGACAAGAGGCATAAGGCAGAACTGTCCCGAGCAAGTTATGGTGGATGGACAAGCCATACATTATTAGAAAATTACGTTTGTGAAAGAAAAAAAAAAAGACAAAAGAAAATTGCATTTGTATGGTTTCAGCCAATTAACTTTTTTTTTCTTTTAGGGGAAAATTGTATTTTATCAGTTTAAGAGCTGTTGCTATATTATTTATGGGTTTAACTTTTACAGTTTTGTATTCAGGGTAAGAGCAACGAGTGAAGGGTCTGCAGGAAGCCTATTTGTGTTCAGATAATTTAAGCATCCTTTTACTTGGGCTACTCTGGTCCCTGACATTTCAGTTTCAGGCTTTCTTGAGGAAGCATGGATATGCCAACAAATTTTCCCACAGACCCTACCCACGATAGATTGCTTCTGTTTGCGAAGGGCCCGGTGGGGGCGCATACCTGCAGGGTGGCAGGGGCTGAGCCAGGTTAGTTCACACATGCTCCCAGCAGGCATGTGGGAGGTAGCATTCTTGTCATTTCAAAGATGAGGAAAGCGAAGCAGGAAGGTGAGGAGCTTTCTGAAGTTCCTCAGCCAGTCAGTGGCGGCAGGACTACCACCTGAGTCTGCCCCACTGCGAAGTCCACACACCGTCCTAGAGACCACACTCTTCCATCTCTGCTGTGGACCGCTCTGCCTGTTACTTACTATCCCGACTGGATGTCTGCTTTTCTGTTTTTATTTCCCTGATCTGTGAGCACAAGAAAGTGTGGTGCGTGCGTGCGTGTATGTGTGCGTTCGTATCTTTTTACCTTTAACTCTGTTGTTGATTTTGTGTGGTGTGACTCATGGTCATTTCACCTTCCCATGTCTTCCTCCATCACCCCCACCTTCGTTGGATCTGACAGAAGAAGCCTGTGAGGAGGAGGTACGAGCCGTATGGGATGTATTCGGATGATGACGCCAATAGCGATGCCTCGAGTGTTTGCTCTGAGCGCTCGTACGGCTCCAGGAATGGTGGCATTCCCCATTATCTGCGCCAGACTGAGGACGTAGCAGAAGTTCTCAACCACTGTGCCAGTTCCAACTGGTCAGAAAGGAAAGAAGGGCTTCTAGGCCTGCAGAACTTACTGAAGAGCCAAAGAACACTGAGGTGAGGACAAGGAGGCCAAGGTTGTAAGCCAAGTTTTAAGTCCCATATTACACTCAGCAGTGGGTTTAAGGGGGTTCCCTGTCATTCAAGGAGTCCTTACAGAGTTCCTGGCGCAGGGGCAGGCACTGGGGGTGCTAAGATGACTAAGACATGGTCTTTGCCTTCCAAGGACTTTGAAATAACTGACAAATACTCTATTAGGTTTATAAAACATTTGGTTCCATTACAGTTCATATTTATCTGCTAGGTGTTATTTGAGAAGTCTTGATACAGTTTGCAAGTTAGGTAAAAAATAACTCTGCTGCTTGGTATGGTTCATTATACTTTGGAGTAGTGGGTAAAATCATAGCAGTCTCAGCCTAAAATTTTGTAATATATGCATACATATAGCTTATAAGTGTGCATAGTAACGACATACTAAAATGGAGTATTTTAAAGTAGTACCAGCATTATTACTAGAGTTGATTATTTTGCTTTTGTCCTTGTTTCTATATCTCACAAATTTTCTAAAATGAGCATGTATCGCACATACCATAACAGTATATGTTTATACCATATTTCATCAAATCTGAGGCACCTTTGACACACTGCTAGTTTACATCCCTCTAAGAAGAAATGCTGCTTATTAAACCATGGCAGTACTAATATAATATGTCTTTGATCACAGGATGAATCTCTAAATTACAGAGATGTTAAAATGTGAAAAATTGGGCAAGTTAGAATCCCTGAAATACAGATACGATGTTCTTTGGAGATTTTTTCTAAGATAACTTGTGCGAGTGGGTCAGTTGATGATCACGGATAGGCTCTGCACAGCTAAGTGAACCTTGACTAGTGGATCCCTGTGCTGGAAGTGTGCCCGTCCGGCCTGTCCGACTCCACCCTGCCATGTTCGTATCTGTTACGTGCCATTCCCCACCCCGAGAGGTCTTGAGAAGTTTTGTCGTATGCTTTCTGAAACGCACATAGCCTCTAATGCTCTAGTGAGCTGTCGAAAACAAAATGAGGATTAAAAAAAAAAATGAGGATGGTTTGTTGAGATGATTATTCCTCAAGAATCTGCTTAATTCTGGAGATCCTGGTTTCTTGATTTTTAGTGTTCACCAAGTATCCATTGAAGAATCTCTAGAAATCTGTTGATTGGCATTGGTCTAACTAGATCGCGTTGTTAATAATGTTAAAGGATCTTCATCTGTATGAAGGGGGGATTACTCAAGGGTAGTTTAGGGAAGAGATGATGATGCTTATTCAAGCCTTGAATGAGAAATGGGACTCCGTAGTATAGGTAAGGATCAGAAAAGGCAAAAGGGCACTAACAGGAAATGAATGTTTGCTTGGTCTCAGCAGTTGTAGGAATGGCAGCGTTTCCTCCTTTAAAGCTCCCTGTGGCCATTTATTTGATACAGATCTAAAGACATCCGAGTACTTGGTAGCAAAACTGAGATTAAAATCCAGGTCCGTCTCACCCCAAAGCACATGCTTTTCCTACACTTTATCCCATTGCCTTTCATCTGTGGCAGGTGGAAAACAGATGTCAAATGAAATGAGCGGGGATTTAGCTCAGGGCTTTGCCACTCCCATGTGTGCAAACTTTGGTAATCACCCTCTGAGATTCAGTTGCCTCATTTTAAGTTGAGAGTCAAACTGTCATGGTTTTATATTTCTGCTTAATTTCATCATGAATTTTTAAATAAAATGATTCGTTTATGAAAAAAGCTTTAAAAAAGCTGTCACTAATCTCAGTGTTGACTCATTAAATTCTAAATTCATTTATTTATTTCCATTTTATTCCCTCTAGTCGAGTAGAATTGAAAAGATTGTGTGAGATCTTCACCCGAATGTTTGCTGACCCTCACAGCAAGGTAAGTCTGGGACTCGTGCCTGCCGACGCGCCCTCGCATGCCCACGTGAGCTGTATAATATACTACTTAAGAGTGAGAGAGAATTCCCCATAGCGCAGTTCAGACCTTACAGATATAACACCAGCTTCAGCAGTAGTTTATGTTATATCTTTTAAAAAAGACTTCTTGGGATCTTCACATGTCCATAAAACTTGGAGCTAAATAAACTAAATAAAATTTAAGAGTTAACGGAAAGAATAAGATGTAGTCATATTCGGATGCTTTGGGGTACTTCCTATTAGCCAAACAGTGGGCTAGGTGCTAAATTAAACATCATATTCTAATGCAGTGCCTTTTTTTTCTTAACAGAAATGAAGAAGATAATCATGTCTATAATTATTTTTTTTTGTACCCCATGTAGCATTTGTCTATATAGGACAAGATAAAAAAAATAGAAGCATTTATGTAATGGATTTATTGAAAAACCAGGTTAAGCTATTTCTCCAAATAGAATTTTCCTGTCCCCAAGAACTTGCTCAGTGGTGGCCACCTAGCTGGCATCCACACTCCCGGGGTCCAAGGAGTCCATTTCTGTTAAGAAAAAAAAGGAGAGCACTGAGCCCTGAGGGGGGATCCCTGCTGGGAGGAAAACACCCCTGACTATGACCCAGGAGTGGTGCTGAGAGAGGGACCCTTTACAGAAGCTTGCTTGGAGTCTAGATTTGAAACAAATACCATTAGTTTGGGAGGAATCCTAGTTGGATGCTTTTAGAGAAAGAAAATGGGATTGAGTTTATTGGGCAAATTTAAAGGATGGATAAAGGACAGGACCAGAAGTGCAAAATTTGGTAGAACCTTCAGTCAGCATAACCAAATCTCATATGCTTGACAGTGCAGGATTTCATGATCTCAGACCACAGTTTTCCTAGTAAAAATGGTCTCTTGTTAAGTCTTATGGGGAGAAGGAGACCTGTCATGGCCAGAAAGTCCAGCCAGTTACTGTGACCTCCTTTCCTTTCCTGCCCTGTCTTTCTCATCGGAGTCATCAGACATGCTCTATCCAGTCATTCAGCACTCAGTACTCGCTCTGGACTAGGGACACAGAAGACAACACGGGACCCCTGTTCTTTGAGATGCTCATGGGAGCCTAGGAGAATGAATGTGGGGGTTCTCTTTTTTCTGCAGGGGGTAGGGGGTGGGAGACAGCAGTTCTCCTCGGTACTGGTCTTGAAGCATGTCTTAAAATTCCTGTGATGAACCTCACAGCAAGGTTAACATTAACAACATAAGTAGAATCCAAGAAAGGTTGAATTCTAGGGCCACAGAGATATCCAAGGATACAATTATCACGATTTTTCTCTAAGATAGTGTTTAAAAGCAGGAAGACTGGGGCACCTGGGTGGCTCAGTCAGTTGAACGTCAGACTCTTGATCTTGGCTCAGGTCTTGATTACAGGGTCATGGGTTTGGGCCCTGTGTTGGGCTCCATGCTGGGCATGGAGCCTACTTCCAAAAAAAAAAAAAAAGGAAGATTTTAAGCATAAGATTCATAAGAGTTAGAGCATAAGGGATGTTAGGTAGTATGGAGCATTGATGAAATTTCTGTTACCTGTCACCTCTAGATTGCTGATTCAGAACCAGAATGTGAGGATAAAGAAGGAAATTTGTTTCCATCAGAAGGCTCTTGTACAGTGAGTTTGGAGGTCTCAGTTTAGTTAATATTTGCTAGCTGCCTTTGAGCTAAGCCAGGAATTCCATAGCTGGGGGCTCAGTGAGTTTTTTTCTGAGCTGTCTCACGGGAGACCCCTGGTGGTTAATAGTTGCTGTGCTAGAACTGAGTAGGTATATAATGGCTGGGTTGTCCCAGTAGAGCATGACTCATTTATTAGCCCAAGTAGGGGACACAGTACTACTTATCTCTCTGAAATCGGTTCAAGGATAGTCCACTGTGGACTCTTATCTCACCTTATACAGCATTAATGATCGCACAGCAGCATGAAAATTATGTGGACTGTATCTTTTATTCTAAGCCATAATTTTTTATAAAGACTATAGTGACTTTTATAATCTTTTTATATTGTATTACTTTACAATATCTGAATTGGCCTACATCGAAATCTACAATGCACAAGGTTTTTTTCCTCCCTTATCTTGTAACATTACTTGTTGAATGCTAGATAACGGACAGTAATAGTATGGAATTACGATGGTTAAGAGACTTTTTTTTTTTTTTTTTTTTTTAAGAGGAAGGAAGGATGGAAGGAAGAGAGGCCTCCAGGATTAAACTAATACCTTTCAGCAAAGTTAATTTCTCTCGGTACTGAATTTTGAAGGCATATTGAGGGAGGGGAGAGTATCAGTATCAGTTTGTAATCTTTTCAGGTCTTTTAAGAAACTGCATGAAAATGGTTATTAATTCACTATGAACTAACATGGAATTTGTTTTGTTGCATGGCCTGGTTTGCGGTGGAATTCACAACAGAGAGTAAGTTCCGATCCTTTTTCCTTTATTTTTTTAATACATTTGTCTCCTCTAATATGACCAGTCCATTTTTAATAGAGACTTTGGAGGAAATTATGAATTACATATGTGAAATATTTGGTTTTCATTTGTGCCTAGGTTTTCAGTATGTTTTTGGAGACTCTTGTGGATTTTATAATAATTCATAAGGATGACTTGCAAGACTGGCTTTTTGTTCTTCTCACACAATTACTTAAGAAAATGGGAGCAGATTTACTTGGATCTGTGCAAGCAAAAGTTCAGAAGGCTCTAGATGTCACCAGGTAAGATTTTAGAGGCCAGACCATTTCTTCCCCAACTTTTGATATACAACTGACACATAATGTCGTGTAAGTTTGAAGTATATAACGTGATGATTTGACACATGTGTATATTGCTAAATGATTACCACAACGTTAGTTAACACATCCTTCACTCACATAATTGCCATTCTTTTGTTGTGGTGGTGGTAAGAACAATTCAGATCTATTCTCTTAGCAACTTTTAAGTGTATAATACGGTATTGTTAACTGGAATCACCATTCTGTACTTTAGATCCCCAAAGCTGATTCATGTTGTAACTGGAAGCCCTGTACCCCTTAACCAGCATCTCCCCATTTTCCCCACCCTGTACTCTGGCAATCACCATTCTACTCTGCTTTTATGGATTTGGGTTTTGGGAGAGGGCACGGCACGGGGATTCCACATATAAGCCTGATCATGCTTTTTTTGTCTTTCTCTGTCTGGCTTATTTCACTTAGCATCGTGCCCTCAGGGTCCATCCATGTTGTCACAAATGGCAGCATTTTCTTCTTTTTTATGACCGAATAATATTCCTTTGTGGGGTTTTTTTTTAATCCATTCTTTTGTTGACAGACACTTAGGTTGTTTTATATCTTGGCTATTGTAAATTATGCTACAGTGACCATGAGGTCGGGTATCTCTTCGAGATAGTGGTTTCATCCCCTTTGGTTACATGCCCAGAAGTGGAGATCCTGGATCATATGATGTTTCTATTTTTAATTTTTTGAGGAACCTGTACTGTTTTCTGTAGTGGCTGCCCCAGTTGACATTCCCACCCACAGTGCAGAAGGGCTCCCTTTTCTCCACGTCCTCGCCAACACTTGTTCTCTCTTGTCTTTTTGATGATAGCTAGGAGCCGTGAGCTGATACCTCCTTGTGGTTTTGATTTGCATTTCCCTAATAGTGATGTTGAGCATTTCGTGTACTTGTTGGCCATTTGGGTGTCATCTTTGGGCAAATGTCTCTTCACGTGGGCTAGACCATGTTGATGTTACAAGACTCTCATAGGTGGTTTTTTGCCATTCTCTTTTGTTACCCATGGTTTTGTCATCTGCTTGAATAAGTGTACTCTCATACAATTTCCACATTCTTTTGTTAACATATTTGTTGAAATGTTCCTGCATTTGATGAGATGAAATACCCATATCCTCCGTGAGCTGGTATTGTTTTTGTGAATGCTCAAGACAAAAACAGATATAAAGCCTTGCAAATTGATTCTCTTCTCTTTGAAAGAAATTTGAGTATTTATTTACATTCTCCTGAATACCTCAGTATTTTTAATACTTCCAACTTCTTACAAGTCACACTAGAAATTTTTCTAGCCACGTGTGATGTACCTTTTGTCCAGGTATAATCTCTGTTAGAGATTAATTTTTTAATGACACTCTGAAAGCCAAATAAAATATTTGTGAGCCAGACTTGGCCTAAAGGTCACTTCCGTAATATAGGTGAATTTATGAATGGCAAAACCATTCAGAGTTTTAGGAATGGCAAGAATGTTAAGATTCTACTCCTAAACTTTGGTGATTAAGGAAAACCCTCTTATTATTTTCCTGGATGCCTCTTCCCTTTAAGAATCCTCTTCTGCTATGGACTCTGAGAAACAAACTGAGGGTTCTAGGCGGGTGGGGGGATGGGTTAGCCTGGTGATGGGTATTAAAGAGGGCACATATTGAATGGAGCACTGGGTGTTATATGCAAACAATGAATCATGGAACACTACATCAAATAAATAAATAGATGATAGATAGATAGATAGATAGATAGGAAAAAAAAAGGAATCCTCTTCTGGGTAGATTTGGTCTAAGTTTCTAGAACACATTCATCATTCCCATTTCCTCAGCAGCTGAGATGCCTAGCTGTTTCAGCATATTTAGGATCAGTCTGTGAGTCCTGGGGGCGGGGGTGAGGGGTCTCCATGCTGGCTGTGAGGGGTTCCTGAGGTATGATAGGCCTAATTGTGATCTGCCTGTTTCCTTTCCTTTGGCTGTGCCTAACCATGGGCACATTTCCAGATTAAACACACCAGTTTATACTTAAGTGGATTCTCCATTCTCCCCTTGCTGCAGAAGAAAAGAGAGGTGTTTTGTGTGTTGTTTGTTGACCTCGTTTCTTTAATTTAAGGGCAGTATGAGTCCGAGAGTCCGAAGAAAGCAGTGCATTCACTCAGCCCCAGTTCTAATAGATGTTCGCTTTGCACAGTCTTTCCTGTTAGTGTGGAAGGTGTGTCTGCATTTTCCCACATGGACACCATTCTGCACTTTTAAACTAATGCTAGTGATTGCAGCACTTGAAGGGAGAGAGCACAGATTTTTGCTAGCCAGGAACCCTTAGGGTTACGCAGTTATGTCGAAAATGTGAAGCGGCTACAAGAAATGAGCTCAGGAACAGTCCAGAAGTGGAGCAGGAGAGGGGCTCCGAAGGCCCTGGCTTCTGCATGTGTTGTAGCTGGATGGGGAGTTCCCTTGCTGGGTCTCCCATGGGCACTCTGCTGCGGTGACTCCACAGAACAGAGACCATAAGCAGTTGCCCAGTGGGACCAAGGGAGGGGACAGTGTGATTAGCCTTAGCAAGGTCGGCGGTAAGCAGCCCAGTCAGGATGTAAATTCAGATTTGGGAATTGGAAGTGCTTCTTATGAAGCAATATTCAGAAAGGTAGCTAGAGAGAAGATGAGCAGATCCCTTAGAAGGCAGGTGGGAATCTCTTCCTTAGTTTATTGCTTGGTCTTAATTTTTAAAATAGCATAACCCAAAGTAAGTGGAGTGTGTGTTTCGGGACTTTAAGCAGATTTTCCTTTTTCTGAATTTTCCATATAGTGTGTATTACTCTAGTATTTATATAAAATGAAAAGTACAATTGGTAAACTTAGTCAACTAAGGTCAGGCTTGCTTTTATATAAATTAGACTCATCTGTAATGGTATATTTTCGTTACTGATACGTTTTTACATTACTTTTTCTAATAAGCCTTTCTTTAAAACTGAGCAGTTTGTTTTCTTCTCTTAAACCTAGGGACTCCTTTCCATTTGATCAACAGTTTAACATTTTGATGAGATTTATTGTGGATCAAACTCAAACTCCTAACCTCAAGGTTGGTAACTATTTGTCATTAGAGTTCAACCTCTATAAGTCAGATTTGCTTAAAATGTACTTTTTTATTCATGATTCATATTTGGCTGTTATGAATAAATCTGCTGTGAGCATCCTTGTACAACTATTTGGGAATGTGTTCCCATTTCTCTTGGTTGAGTGGCTAGGAGAAAAGTTGTTGGTTTATTGGGTAGGTACATGTTTAACTTTATTCTAAACTGCAGAAATGGTTGCGCCATATTATATTCCTACCAGCAATATAATGGGAGGATCAGTCGTTCCACAGCCTAGCAACATTTGGGTATTATTACTGTTTTTCATGGTATTTAAACTAGAAAGCTCTCATGTGTTGAGATAAGGTATCTTATTGGAATGTTTTCAAATATTAACATTCTAACACATGAAAATTAATTGTTCCCTATTTTGGAAAATCCTATCTATGATAACAAGACTGAATCTGAGGGAGGGTGTGTGTTCATTTGAATGAGGTCACATACATCAACTGTTCTTTAATTGTTAACTTTTGTTGGGGTTTTAGGATAGGCCCAATAAATAATAACCCTCTTCTCCAAAGGTGCAAGCCCATTGAAACATCAGTGGAGAAGTTAGGCAGAGTATCAGCTTGATCGCTGAAAATGCTCCCTTGCAAGACATGGCCAAGGATGTGTAAAAAACAAAGCTAAGTACTTCACGGTTAGTGGCAGCGCTGGAAATCCCACAGCCTGCCCGCAGGGGCTCATGCCCTGCAGGTGTCTTGCCGCATACGGGAGGAGCAGAGTGTGCCTTCAGTCTAAAACTGAAGCGGATTGAGCTATATGCCACTCGCCCTGTTCCCAAACTTACCTATCAGTCATTTCATGCTTTTGTCCCTGGTGGGTGCCGCTCCCTGTGCAAACATAAATCCAGGAGGAAGGAGGTGTCCCCTCAAGAGTATTTACTTTTCTCTGATCAGAATTCAGTTCAGAATTCTATTCAAGGGTTCATAAAGTGTGCTTAATGTTTATAATTATTGGGTCTTTCAGGTCAAAGTTGCAATCCTGAAGTACATTGAGTCCCTTGCTCGGCAGATGGATCCAACAGATTTTGTAAACTCTAGTGAGACGAGGCTTGCTGTTTCTAGAATTATAACCTGGACGACAGAACCAAAGAGTTCAGACGTGAGAAAGGTATGTCCAGGAGAGCTCAGGTGCAGCTTTAAACACAGACTGTTCTCAGGCATGTGTTAGGAAAAGAAATTTACCTAGAAACTTGCAGACCACCCCACACAGCTACACGGGATCCATATTCTCACTCCTTTTCTGTGAAAACCAGACTTTGCTCTCGCCCTTATCTTCTCTCTCCAGTTCCACCTCGTCCCAGGCTTCTGACATCAAAATGAAAATCAGAAATCATGTATGATGGTTTCGTGCTTTCCTTAGGCATTTATTTTGTTCTTTTCAAATGTGAAAACACTAGCAGTTTAGTGTCTTGTGAGGCCATTGGTTTTCCATATATCAGTTTTGTGACATGGACTTTGAGGACAGAATTGAAGATCTAAGGCTGCCCGGCCATAAGGTGCCTCACAGCAAAATGTGGCTGAAAGTTTGCTAGGAATATGAATTCCTGAGTTTAAAAAGAGCAAACAATTTTGGATTATATACCACACTTGGAACACACTCTTTTTGAGATGGGGGGCTGAATGAATGGGGAGGTAGAATTCAGATTTTGGAGCCACCTGGACACCAAGGTGTTTTGTTTTTTTTCATCAGCAGAAGTATTGGCTACTTTCTTCAGGAGTGACACATTGAGGGGCATATAACAAAGTAATATAACAGTACACAGGGACATATAATAGTACACAGAGTACCATTTCTCTTACTAGGTAGTACTCTGCCTCAGGACCATTAACAGAGATTAATTACTATATGTGAAACATTTTGTCAATTCCTGACAAGTTGTAAGCACGCAACGAGTGTAAGTTCCTGTGTTTCTCTTCCTCTCTGCCTGTCCATGTCCTTCTGTGCTTGAGTTGCACACACAGTCGTTATTCTTTTACTTTATATAGAAACTGAGTAGCCTTTATAAAGTACTCTTTAAAAGCCAGCTTCCTCAGTTCAGCTTTTAGACTGAAAGTACTTGATTTTGGTTGTGTATAATCACGAGCTTTGCTTTGTTTCTTCTGTGCCAAACTCCTTCCACATTTAGCCTGACCAGTGGAGTCCTTTGGCCTTGATAATGTGGACCACTTGGGGCCAGGCAGGAAAAAAGAAAAGGAGGCTTCCAAGCAATAGCTAGCAGGAGTGGTGTATTTCCAAATGCAAATGAACACTTAGCTCCTCCTCCAGTGGAGTTCAAAGACAACAGAAGAATTCTCTGGAAGGTTTCTTTGAAAGGGTCATGGGTCATGTAAGTCCTGTGTCCACTGTGTAGAAAATAAACTAAGTTGTCCAAGGTGAAAGTAACAAGGGCAAATCTTATTCAAGCACTCATTCAAGATTATTATCAAAAGAGCATTTCACTGGCAACCTTTAATTTAGCCATTAAGCCAGTGTTGGATTAGGGAGGAACAGTAGGAGGTGGTTCAATGATTTGGTTGGTATGTAAGTCACAAACAGATACTTCTGTTGTAATTTTCAAAATCACAAGATTGGCCAATAAATACAAAAGCCTTCAGGACAGCTTTCTATCTTTAGTCAACACGTGTGTGTGTGTGTGTGTGTGTGTGTGTTCCTTTTATAATTGAATGTTACTTAAATATTCCCTCCTGTAGGGCTGAAACATACTCTAGACTTACCATGATTAGGGCCTGCGTGGGAGCAGCTCACTTTCATCATAACGTCCACTTTTCTCTGGACATGGACATTAGAAATTTGAACTAGAATTTATTTCCCTAACTTTTCTAAACAGGTTGTTATAGGAACTTTTTTCCTTGAGTTCCTTAGCCTTAGGTTCCAGTACACTCAACTTATTTTACTACTGGCTTAAGTCAAATATGGTTAAGATATTAAATTTATTGCCAGAAATCACATGGTTCATTTACTGTTGATCTCCAACACTTAATTTCAATCATTTTGGATCCTATAGTGTTGCTTCACAAAGCCTGGGCTCCATTGGTATTCCGCTTCTGTTGCCTGCTCTCACTTCCCCTTCCCCATCTTGAGGACTGCTTAATACCTCACCTTCAGACTGAGTTCAAACCCAGGTTCTGGGACAGCAATCCTGATCTTCAGAAAATTAGTAGTTCTCAGTCCTGGCTGCGATCAAAATCAACCTCAATTCCTGGGCTCTACCCCAGGTAATTTGACTTAATTAATAAAAAGTGTGGACAGCATTTTGGGTCTCACTGGCTCTTGGCTGATTTTTAATGCACAGAGTTGAGACCCATTGTTTTAGAAATTTACCCTGGGGTTGAACCTCAACAAATACAGACTGTCAATGTTGACCTGGTTGCCACTAATTCTCTTGGTCCCAGCCTTCATCTTCAGGATCTTCGGGACGAGGGCTGGACTTGCTGCTCCCCAGTGCCTTCCCCACCTCCCTGTTTTCACTCACCCTGTATACTCAGCACCAAGCACAATACCTGTTGGAACAAAGTAGACATTTAATAAACATTTTGAATGAATCAATGAATGATAAATGCCCAAAGAGAAATGATCTAATTTTATGTAGCACGTCGAAGCCATTATTTTCAAAATCATAGTGTTGGAGGCCCCCTGTTTTGACCTCTGTATTAGTTTTTCTGTTGGATACCAAATCACCACAGACTTAGCAGCTTGAAACTACACAAATTTATTATGTTGTAATTTCTGTGATTCAGGAATCTGGCACATGGTCTCTGGGTCCTCTGCTTAAGATCTTAACAGACGGAAATCAAGGTGTTGTCTGGGTTTTTGGTCTCTTCTGGCTCACTGCTGCTTGGCTGAATTCCATTCCTTACAGGAGTGGGGCCAAGGTGCCTGTTTTCTTGCTGACTGCCAGCACGGTGTTCTCAGCTCACAGAGGTTACCTGCCACCCCCTGTCTGCCACATGGCCCTCTCCACAACATGGCAGTTTGCTTTTTCAAAGCCAGCAGGAGAATATTTGGGGAAAAAATTTCCCCAGACGTCCAGGGTTTGCTGAAAAACCTTAATCTACCCCTCTAAGAGTATTAATTTTCTGCCCCAACAGTAGTTGGGGAGTTTGCAGACAGTATAATTCATTCTACACAATCCTATTTGGGAAAGCACTTTAAGCTGATAGAACTCTTGATTTGTTGTTAACATTTTTAATAATTTACTTTGTTTCCCTTTTCATCTCAGCATTTTGGGGTGTTTGATGTTGGAGAGAGAGGGGTGTTTAAATATTTAAGATGTTTTGAAGAGGAGGGAAGAGGCACAGCCAGAACCGGAACGCAAGCCAGTCAGCAGTGGAGTGTGCTTAGGCCCAACCTGATGGGGGCTAGCAGGAAAAGCCCCCCCTCCCCAGACCTTCACTGGCCAGCTTTATTCTCAAAGTAACCTTGTTCGTGTTTTAGGTATGGGAGCCCTGACTAGTTGTGTTGGCCATACTATACCTTTCCGAAGGTGCTGTGTTGATGTTAAGATACTATAATGTGGGACGCCTGGGTGGCTCAGTCGGTTAAGCGTCCGACTCTTGATATTTGTTCAGGTCGTGATCTCAGGGTCATGAGATTGAGCCCCACATTGGGCTCAGAGCTGAGTGCGGAGTCTGCTTGAGGTTCTCTCCCTCTCTCAATTAAATAAGTAAATCTTAAAAAAAAAAAAAAATAACATAATGTGTTGACAGTAGGAAGTAGATTCTGGAGTTTGACCTTCTTTTGACTTTTGCCTCTGCCACTCGTTGGTGTAAGCTGGCACCGTAATCTCTTAATTCTTGTTTGTTCCCCAAAAATGGGAATGATAATCCCTGTCTCAGGCTTCATTGGGAGGACTAGTAGAGAAAAAATAGCTAAATATTACTTCATTTACGTTGCAGCCCCTGCTCTTGGTTGTTTTGGTTTTGCTGTTGCTATTTGTGGAGCAAATGGAGAACCCAATTTTTTCCAGCATTAGGAAGATTTTTTTTTTCCCCCATCAACCAAAGGGAATGTGGTAATGCAGTAGAATTTTTAATGGTATGTTTATATTTCAGGATTCAGAATCCTTGTGGGTTTGGTTATCATATATGATCCTCTGACATTTAGCACCTACATTGTCAGATGTGATAGCAGATTTAGCCCCCACATGTTTTGAGAGATGCGATAACTGAAAGCATGGCAAAGAAGCCTAGAAAGTACAAAGATGCTATTGCCTGGAGCAGGAAGATGACAGAAACCTTCAGAAGGTGAAATTTCTAACTGAAAAAAGAAATTTTTTTTTTTTCTTTTTTAGAGAGAGGGAGTGAGGGAGAGGGAGTATCTTATGACCCTGAGATCATGACCTGAGCCAAAATCAGGAGTCGGACGCTTAACCAACTGTGCCACCCACATGCCCGTCCAACTGAAAAATGTTCAAGTCTGATTACTGGTAGGCAGTGTGGCCTTAGCCGCAAAGCTCAGGGTTTGCTCAACTGAACTGTGACGGGCACTTTCAAGAAACGAGTTGACCTTTTTGGTCTCCTTTTGACCCTTTCATTGCATAAGGCAAGAGTGCTATGACTCCTGGCAAGGATTATGGTTATTACGCACCTAGCAAATGATAGAGGTTTGAAACCGCTCATTACTGCTGTTATTCTCCCTATTCCTACCTGTTAGATTATATATACCTAGGTGATTCTGTAAAAGAAACTAAATACTTTCACAGCTTACAAATAACCCCGGTTTAAGCACTTGCTTCTTCTCTCATTAAATCCTACTGCCTTTCCTGTTTGTCAGTCCCCGCTTCAGCGTAGTCGAGTAGGTGAGGATTTCCCCACTAGGTCAGCTTCCACCTGCTCTGGGCCTGGAGAAGGAAACTTGGAAGAAAATTGTAAACAGGTAGATTTTAAACTATGTACTAATTTGAAAAAAGACACTTCACTGTTTGCCTTTTAGATGATTAATACTGATTACCCTTGTCGAGACACTGAAAAGATTTTGAAGAAACCTAAAATTCATATAATACTACGTGATAGTGTGTGTGTGTGTAAATGCTTGTGTTTTAACATGTTTTATGATTAACTCCCTGCCCAAAGAAATAGCTATGTTGAGTGTAGACCTCTACCTTACTTTAGCAGAATGGTGAAGCAGAGATACTAAATGAGAAATATCTGAAGGTGTTGAGATACCCTTTCTTTGGTGATTTTCTAAAGCAATTTTTAATGACAATCCGGAGGGAGCAGTAATCGTTTAATAAATGAGAAAACTTCTTTCCCTCCCCGAGTTTAAGTTTTCCCCAATTAATACCAGTGCTGAAGCATTTGTCAAAGCTTTATTGATCTCCTGTCTCAAAAAATTCTTTCCTGCTTTAAAGGCAGTTGATAGCCTTGGGAGTGCTGCTTTCCACACAGTGACAGTAAGATTCGAAAGACCTTTTGCCCTCACCTCCCAAATTCTCCTGTAGGGGTGTGAGTGGGGATCATTTCCTTGTAAGTTGCCATTTGATCTTGGAAATCAGTAACCCTAGAGTTGTCCATTAGAAAAAGTCAGCAGCAACCTTGAGTGTTTTGTCTGGCCGCTTATCGGCCCCACCTCTTGTGGAAAGCAAGAGTTCAATGATGGGACAAAAACAGGGGCATACTCTACTCTTTGATTCATTATTGCACACGAGCTATGCTGCAGGCTTTTTTAAACGACTCTCTCCAACTCAATCCCCATATTTGGAATTATTACTTTAAAGAGAGTGTATTGATGGTAATGATAAATATAACCCAGTTTTCTTCCTTGCTTGGATTCTAGTATTCTGACTTCTCACTATGACAGAGGGTTGTAGATAAAATATTTTAGGACCATAGCAGTCTCATTCCTTTTAAAACTGTGACGTAAAGTATTTTTAAAAGAACATATTTGGGACACCTGGGTGGCTCAGTCAGCTAAGCGGCTGCCTTCGGCTCAGGTCATGATCCCAGGGTCCTGGGATTGAGCCCCGCATCGGGCTCCCTGCTCAGCAGGAAGCCTGCTTCTCCCTCTCCCTCTGCCTGCCACTCTGCCTACTTGTGCTGTCTCTCTATCTCTCTGTCAAATAAATAAATAAAATCTTTAAAAAAAAAAAAAAAAAAAAAACATATTTAAGTCATACTTTCTATGCATTTCTGGAGCTTGGACATCATTAGAAAGGGTTTTACTTTGAAAACAGCTTTAAACCTAAGGGTGACTTTTGAAGACTGTATAGAATCATTTACATTTTGTATTTTGGAAAATGTAAAAATAAATTACACTCATTTATATATATAAGTCACCACAAATGTACCATCTTTCCAACTAGCTGTATTTTCAAAATACCCCGTTTTTCTGTTTGATTTATCAAATTCAACGTTAGGGTTATTGAAAGAGAAGTTTCTTTAGTGGGCCAGAAGTTAAAGTCGGCTGCACCTTCTTTTCCCACATGACTAAGAGTCGTTAACAGCATGTAGCCATGAATTAGCAGTTTCTGGGCAGCCCTCTTGTTCCTAAAAGATCCCGCTAATTTTAGAATTTGCTTTATGAAAAACCTCAAATTACTTTGTGGTGTTGGATATCCTGTCATTCTGGGAAGAAACGCGGTTTTTAAAGTAAAGACAGTGGCACATTTCACATAAAAATATGGTATTCAAAAATATACTGTTACATTTTATAATTTTCAAATATCATTGTCAGTCATTAAAAAATAAGTCCCTAAGCTTTCTTACTAAATTGGCGACATTTTTTCTCCCTGCTAAATCAAGTCTTTTTTTCTGTCTCTTTGAAGTGCAGTTTTTTCTGCATGCATTTTTTTCCCTAACATCTAATAAAATGGTTTTTTAAATGCACAGGTACCTTGCATGAGTTTTGGAATTTGCTCCTATACAAATATACAGATCATTGTTAATATGTATTACATTGGTGGTGAAATAGATTCCTTCAGATAACTACTTAATAAGAATGTTTCAATAATGAAATGTAAATTTTAACACAGTCAGTAACAGTGTGTTTTGCCTCTGTCATGAAAGCACACAGGCCCCTTGGGATTTAATTTGGATGGAAAAGCTACTAATGACTGTATTTGGAGGTCAAGGGAAAAAAGGAAGATACTTTTGCCCAATGCGGTGCTTAATAATGCTTTTGATATGTCTAAAAAGTAGTTTTTGATGTAAAAAAACATTCTACTGATATTTTAAATTTCATAACTTTTATTTTTGGTTAAATATATTTGAGTCTCTGGATTATCTTTGTTTTTTTTTTCCCCCTTCTCCAGACAAAAATAGTAATTTTGCCTTTACTGGATCCAGAAGTAATTTTAACATTGTGAAAGCATTGAAATATTTTGTGGTGTTTATTTCCAGAGCCTTTCTAAGCAAATAATATATTTTGTAATACCCTATATCATGGAAAAAAATATACAGAATAATTACTGCAATCCTAAAATTAGAGTGTGTTGGACAGCTAAATGTATCCTTTCAGTCAGAAGATGTTCATAATGTGTTTTTCTTTCTTCTGACTCTCAGAAATTTGTAAGAAATGCCATTATTTACTGAAGTTTTCTCTTGGCATAGTTTTTCTAAATCAAAACCCTTGGAACGAATTCCTCAGGCTTTTTTAGTGCCTGCTACTACTTAGTACCATAGAAAGCACATAACTTGCTGGAGAAACCTGAGTCTCATTGGGCTACTATTGCTTCAGCTAACTGCTTTCCCACCTTGCTGTCAGAGTGATCACCAGCAGTCCTGCAACATATTGTCTCAGTTAATAAAGAAAAGTAGAGCATTTGCCAAAACACAGAAGAGTACATTTTAAATTTGTACCATAGAAGTCTGGTTTGCTGCCCATGGACTGTCTCCTCACTTCGTAGGCATAACAGTTAGGAGTTCTCCGGATGTATTTAAACTCTTTTTCTAGAATTTCTCAGTCCCTCGGAGTGGCCTTGAGGAAAAATGGTTGCTCAGATAACCCGTTGGCAGCTCATGGAGATCTTGTTCTCCCCAGGATGCACCGGGAGCCCTGTCCAGTTCTGACTTAGTAGAGTGAACCATCGTCAGCCTTTTCACGTTCTTGGATTGTTTTATTTATGGATTTACCAGCTTTGTGCCTAGTGCTGGACAACACAGGAAAAGTCATTTATTACAAGCATGCTATGGAAATCCAAGGCAAGGGCGTGAAGATGAAACAGGGCTGTATTTTCCAGGTTGAAGGCAGGCTATTTATAATTGATGATCTTATTTTCTCCAGATGCCTTTTGTTTGTGTTTTTTTATGACAAAGGTGTCCTCTTTGTTTTGTTTTTTTTATTATTTATTTTACTCATACAAAAACATTTTTGTAAAATAATTTTAATGAAAGTTTTGACCAAAATATGCTGTTGTCTATTACATAAATTAATCAAGTGTTCTTTTTCCAGGCAGCACAAATTGTGCTGATCTCTCTGTTTGAATTGAACACTCCTGAATTTACCATGTTACTTGGTGCCTTGCCAAAAACATTCCAGGATGGTGCCACCAAACTCCTGCATAACCACCTCAAGAATGCCAGTAACACCAGTGTGGTGAGTGCTTGGTCACAATTGATACCTCTGTACTGATCATGACCTCTGTGAATCCCCGGTCTAGACGTGCTCTAATAAAATGGCCAGCTTTCTTGTTCTCTTTTAGTAGATTGTGGGCATCTGGAGGGTGGGGGCCGGGTCTGATCCTGCCATATTCCCAGTGAATGAGTGAACTTGGTATTTAAATATGGCCTTTTTCTTACATGAGATTGTTCAGTCAGTTAAATTTTTACTTGGTCATTTAGTCATTTACTCATTGAGTTACTTACTTTCTTCATATGTAAAGATGGAAGTGCTCAATTTGTGTCTGTTAATCTAGCATAGCTGACATCAGTCATTGAGCTTCAGGAATCCCTACGTGACAGTTACCCATTTTGGGTGTATGTGCACTTAAAGTTGGCCTTAATGATTTAAAAAAAAAAAGTCATCCCAATTGTGCAGATTTTGCCCTTTTATTTACATGTGGGTTAAAAAGCTGGGGGGCGGGGCGCCTGGGTGGCACAGTCAGTTGAGCATCTGACTGGGTTTCAGCTCAGGTCGTGATCTCATGGTCATGAGATCGAGCCCCATATCAGGCTGTGTGCTCAGCGTGGAGTCTGCTTGGGATTCTCTTCCCTCTCCCTCTGCCCCTCCTGCTTGTGCTCTTGCCCTCTCACTCTAAAATCAATCTTAAAAAAGAAGAAAACCTAGGGGAAAGGGGGCACTATAATCTATGTTTAGCCCTTGAATAATGATGCTTATTCTGTTTTCACACCAGGGCTCTCCGAGCAATACAATTGGCCGGACTCCCTCCCGACACACCAGCAGCAGGACCAGCCCCCTGACCTCCCCCACCAACTGTTCCCATGGGGGCCTATCTCCCAGGTAATGCCATTTCAACAAAAGCGAAGAAACTAAAGCACCCCAGTGTCCAACCTATTTCTAGGTTTTTAGACCAAGCTTAATAGCAAAAAATGAATGGGTATCAGGAGACCATGGGGTCCTCACCCAAATCTTAACTATATAATCTTGGGCAAAGCAGTTGACTTCCATGGCGAAATGGCCAATTTGTGCTCAATGTTCTCGGAGATTCTTCCGGCTCTGAGCACTCCCTAGTAACTTAAAATTTTAAAGCTAAATTTACATTTAGTACTGTTTCACATAGAAACCATTTAGAAATTCATCACCTATTCTCCAAGTGCTAGGAGCACCTGAAGGTATTTGTCATCTAAATAAATCCTCTGTAGTCAGTCCACACATAGCCTGGGGTAGTTTTCCCACCAAGCAGCTGTTCCAAGCATAGTTGCTGTCATCACAGGCTCACGTTTGAAGCAGACTGCTGCTCTGGAGAGGTACTAAGAACCTGAGAACTAAAATTGGATCAGCATTTTCAGACTTTTGTTGGGACCATGCACATAGACAATAGCATATTTTGGTCTTAGAGAGTCTAAGACAGTGACTTAAAATCAGAAAAATGCTTTGGCTCAGGATCTTTAGACTTCTCCATCTGCCCAGAGCCTCTGGAAGTCTCTGCAGGTGACCGCCTGGCATGTGTTGGCGTCTCTCATGGCCTCACATAGAGGAGTGGCCCTAGAAGCCAGACTTCATAGTGCCCGGACCTGTGAGGGTCGTACGTGCTGTGTTTGTCCACCAGAAGTCCAGATCTTTGCGATCCCTGGCCACAAGGATCAGGGGGCTGTGTCTTAAGGGATGTTGACACCAAGATAATAAGAACATACAAGTACTGCCATCTTCCCTTTAAAGGCTACCTCTTTAGTAGGAAAATATAAAAATACAAGTGCCTTTAAATTTATTTTAGATTTTTAAATTCCCCAAATCTTCCATCCTTACCAGTAAAGTTCTCTTTAGTTCTTCAAGTTATATAACTATTTGGAACATATGAAATTTGTATTTTTCTCTTGGTGAAACAAAATATTTCATATACTTGTAGTATGCTACTGTTTATATTGCCTTATTTCTAATCCCCCTAAATCCCCTGGTACTATATTTAGGTAGAATGAAGAATGATGTCACGTCTCCAAGTTTGGTCTGTGTTGTCATGATTTTAGCAGGCTGGTATAATTAGATAGTTGACATCAGAAGTGAATGAAAATATGTCTGACTTTCCCCAGGTGTGACTGAGGCTCAACCAACTATTTTTTTTTCATGTTAATATCTGTATCTAAAGTATATGACTTACAGGGTCCAGTGTTAACAGTAAAATCAGAGTTCTCTTTCTCGGGGTGGAGGGCAGGGGCAGGATTTTGTGGAAAGCTTGAATTCTCTGTAAATGGTTGCTTTTGTCTAGAAGTAGTACTTCTGCACCATTAATTAGGAAATCTCTTCCATAATACATAGTTCATACTTCTTATCTTTTAGTTCTTTCATTATTAGGGTGGCACATTCCTTAGGTAATAAGCAAAAGGTAAAATGCAAGTATTTTTATTCTATGTGCTTGCTAGTCTAGGTAAAAGACTGGTGGAGGCCACTGGTGTAATCCATCCGAGCTAAGAATTGGCATGGTATTAATCTTCACGGATCCCCAGATTATTAAAAATTTTACTTTTCCAAGTCACCATTCATTTTTAGTTGGCCTGGTCTTAATTTTTACTGTCAGGGTTGCCAGTCGGTGGAAGAAATGAAGAGGTTTATTTTCAGTATTAATATCATTTTCAAGATGAAGGCCAAGTGTGACCTAAATGTTTTCTTGCCAACAAATTCTGCTTTAGGGAATTATTTAATTGTGTGGCCTCTTTATTTTGTAAACGAATGTGCCCTCAGTCAGGGCATACCTAGCCAGATGGCCTTAGTCAACAACTTAATTAAACTCAGCAGAAGTGGTTTTTCTCACAACTAAAACTGTCCAGAAAGTAGGAAAAATGGCTTCCTGTCATTATATCACTGGGAATATTGAAGTAGGCCACATACTTTCACCAGGATGATTATAAAAGCTATGAACTCTTGCATTAAATAGGAGAATGGACTAGGTTACCCATTCCTGGGGAAACGATAGACAAGTTCTATCACATATAATCTCAACGGTTTTTTTGTGCAGTGCTCTTGAAGCATTTAACTTTCTGTGAGCTGCCATTCTTTCGAATCATCTTAAACATACGATGTTAATTTTTTATTCTTAAGAGGAAAAGTTACTAGTTGTTTGTTTTCAATCTAATTTTTTTGTATCAAAACGAACTAGTATTTTTTTGGTCCAAAAATTCTGCACTACGATCGTGGTGTGTTAATAAGGAAATATTCTAAAATGATGAGCAAATCTAATTTGATACTTAAAAAAAAAAAAAAAACCCTACAAACAATGAATCATGGAACACTACATCAAAAACTAAAGATGTAATGTATGGTGATTAACATAACATAATAAAAAAAAGCAAAACAAACAAAAAAACCCTAGTGAGGAAGTTGTTTTTATCACCCCAGTAGTCTTAGAGAAAATCATAGCTAGCATGTTAAACCTTTGTGAAACATTCCATTAAATCGCTTTTTGTGTGTGTGTGAGGGAAGAATTACTCCTTATTCCCAGCAGTAAACAAATACTACTGGGTATTTAGAGAGGAGATTTGTAACCTGGAGTTTTTCATCATTCAACACATACATATTTTTTAGCTCATTTTACCCAGTGTGATTTGTGTTAAATGAAAAACAAGAGTTGCAGGGCGCTTCAGAAATCACATGATGTCCGTTCCCTTTGAGATCAGAAAGTAGATGGCAGTCCTCGCCCCCATCTGCTGTACATTGTTGGCAAACACGTTGTAGAGTAGAATGACACTAAACAGATCATCTGTTACCCCTAGCAATAAAGGGTAACTTTAGGTGGATTTTACAGTCCATTGCATCAGAGGATCAAGATTTTCCATAGAAGCAAAGTGGGGATTAACTGGGAGACCCAGCCTCCCATAAGCGGTGGAGGTGCATCTGCTTATGCTCTACCTGTTAGCAGAGTGCCAGCCAAGATGGTCACCTGAGTTCCTTTGGTCTGTGGGCCCTCGTGTGCTGTGGTGACCTCTCCTCTCCACACTTACTGATCTTACAAAATGAGACCACAGCTGTCTTTGGCAGAGACTAGCTCTTAGGGCCCTGATGATCGCCATCCTCAGGCAGTGCTGCTCCCTGGGGACCACCCTGGGCCTGGGGTCACATTTCCTGCCAGGTCGGCTCATGCCTCTCACAGTGGCTGTGGGTCTCCTGAATCGCAGCAGCTGTTAGAATGTCCGTCGGGGCCTCTGCGGGCACCGACCACTGAGCGACATTTAGAGTGAGGAGGGATGCCTGTGTTCTCCGATGAGTTATTTCTCGAATCAGGTGATAGGAGCAGGGGAATTGGGTTGTTTTGAGACCTGGCGCTCTGGCCCTCTAGTGGTGCTGTTACTTTTTCAGAAGGAAATTGCCTGTGGCAGCCCTTGAACTCCATCCGATTGGGTTCCGGGCTCAGGGAGCACATCGTCCCCTGCTAGAGTTCTGTGGTCAGAAAGGCATGTTCTCTGAGTCTTCCTGCTGTAGTCCCTCGGGTCCCATTTGACTTAAGGCCCGAAATTCCTCCTTCGGCTCTTTGTAAACAATTGATAGCATTATCTGAAACGGAACATGCATGCCTATTTGTATGGAAGTACTCGTAATGTCCTTACCAGTGCAGACACACACACACACACACTCACACACTCTTACACTTGGAATCTCGTGATTTAAAAATGTTAACACACGATCAAGAGGGGAAGGAATAAAGCGGCCTTATTGAGGGCCAGACTGTAAAACCAACCTTGTTCATTTTCTCTGTATGGTGAAGTATAAATTTTGCTCCAGTTAACTTTGACAGAGCTTGGTCAAGGAAAGAGGAGACTGGAAGACACTTAGGATATAGTGTCTCTCAGTCCCCTCCCGTCCCCCCTCCCCGTTGCCTTGTTTTGTCTCTCTCTGACTCTCCTCTTCTGATCACTGCAGTCGGTTGTGGGGTTGGAGTGCCGATGGCCTATCGAAGCACCCACCTCCCTTTTCTCAGCCCAACTCCATTCCCACCGCTCCCTCCCACAAGACTCTCAGGCGTTCTTACTCTCCCAGGTAACAAGCTACCTGTTAACCTTGTCTGAGGTGTCACAATATTATTGCATTTCCAGGGTCGTCTCAGGGCTTTCGGAAAGCCTCTGGCTTAGACGAGCAGGAGTAGAGCCTTGGTGAGAAGTGTGAGCAGGTGCATGATCTCTGTTGACCTGCATGAGTATGACTCCTGCTGTGTCACAGGGACAGATGACCATTTCATCAACTGACCAAATCCAGCAGCACCTAGTGGAGCAAGCCTTTTGGCCCCGGCAGAGCTGAGCTCCGCCAGAGGTGCTGGGGCAATGCCCTGAAGTCAAGGCAGGCCACAGGGGCACGGTTTCCTTCGTATTCTTCTCGGGAGGACAAGGCATGCCCGCTCAGAAGCAAGTGAGACCTGCTCTTTCCCAAAGCGTACCTGTAGCGACCAGTCCCGCTGCTGGCGATGTGGACTGATTTCTTGCATAATGTACTGCCATGTGGTGAGAGTCAGAGGACACAGATCCTGAAGGGAAGGCCCGAGAAGTACATCTCCTTGACGTGCCCTGCCCCTAGGCAGGAGCGCAGTCGGTATTCTCACAAGCCCCTGGTTGAAGGTGACGAGGTTAATGAGTCTAGAGGAAGGGGTGGGGCTTCCTTCAGATCTAAAACAGATGGTAAATCGGTGGGATAAAGTAAGGGCCACGGATTTCTACAGACAACTGTTTGAGGGTCTCTCAGGTGGTTATTATAAAGGTCCAAAGATCCGAGGACCCCTTCCCTAGAAGCCTGTAATTGCACGAGCCTGGGGCAGCCCAGCTGTCTTTGTGCTGTGTAAGATGAGTTTGTACCTGCTGATAGGATAGAGTGAAAACAAAACCGAAAAAGGTCTGTTACTTCTGAATGCCTCATAGGCGGCTTTTGCGCAGATTGACGTTCCTACTTTTGTATCCTCAACTCAGTGAAGCTGTATATTTTTAATAAAATCAGCTAAAGGTTTTAACAACATCTTTCCTTTGAAACTCTAAGAGCTTTAAGAGTAACTTCTCAAGTACAGAGAACCCTGTAATGGCTGTTTCTAGATACACAAGGTTAGGGCAAGGACACAGCAACAAGGTGACAGCTGCTGTCGTCAGTGTTAATAAAGCATGTCACCGTACTTAAACTTTTTTTTTTTTAAGGTTAGCCATGCCTCAAAGTAGAAGTCCACTTATTGACTGTGTTCCCGTACACTGACCTGTGTGCCCTAATGGGCACTGAGCTTCCCCACCGCCCAGCCACCTTCCCATCCAGCTATCAAGACCCCCTTCCATTGGGCACCTTGTTTCCAGAATCATCTTTCACGCATGCACAATAGCACAGCTCATGCTAATAAGTACCCATAACTTCTGTTGACCATCAGAGGGAGAGAGCATTGACAAGAGACTTCTCTGTTTAGAAAAACCCATCAGTTACCTACAAATAAGAGGAAATCTTTGTCTCTTTGCTTTCTGCCAAAACCGTATTGATTGCATAACAAGGAATGATTATATCCTAATTCCATTCCTCGTATCTTTTCCCTGCAAAATGACGAGGAAAATCTCAGAAAGCAAACTTCCTGTCTCTAGTGTCCCCATTCTTGGAGACCTGACCTCATGCACCTCCCCATCCACGATATATATCCTTTACAACAGGGTGAGTCCAGAGCTCTATTCTGCCTCCGTATTGGATGACATGGCCTGACCTTGGGTCGGTGACTATTGACCGATTGAGCAACTGTTCGTAATCTAAAGAATTCTAAGGAAACCTTTCTGGGGTCTAAACACAGTGTTTACAGAAGACCAGGAGCTGGCCTTTAACCTCAAGGATTATGTCCTTGAGCTAAAACAAGACAGAGTATGGGGGCAGGTGACAGACCGGGGTGTCCCTAAGCAAGTCTCTTCTGATAAGAAAAGCCGTCCCTCTTGCTGTGTTCCCTTATGGTCTGCTGGCTGAGACCACGGTATCTGTGATTCACCAGGGACTGCTTTGAGGATTTCCTTTTTTCCCCCCTACAAAATGAGGGTTCATAGGCATTGATTTGGAAAAAAAAAACAGATGCCAAAACATGAACTAGCAAACCACGTAGCATTCATTACCTGTTTCCTGTTAGAAAAAACGATACTCTCACCTGGAGCTCACACTTTTAGCTTCGTACCAAGGAGATACTTCAGACCTCAAGCTAGTGAGTCCAAAAAAAGTGTCACCACAGATTGTACTTGGTCGTGCATGTGTACTCCTAATTATTAATTGAAAGTAAGAAGGAGGAACATTAACTGGCAGGATCCTTTTATTATTTTGAAAAGAGGCTACTGTAATGCTAAAGTTCTGTGAACTGAAGTATTTTAAGACCACTCAGGGTACGCATAGTGAGATGAAATTATGTGAAAGCTAACATTATCTGAAGCGACATATGGAAAATAATATTGTGACATCCCTTAAAAAGCTGAACGTTCCGCCAGACTTCCTCTTGTCCATCTGTCATTCTTTCCATTGTTTTTTTTTTTTTTCCTTTTGCATGGGCTATGCTATTATTTTTGGTTGTCGTGATTGAAAGTATTTTAAGGCATCTTTTTTACATCTCGTATGCGTATTTTTTTGTTTGAGTCATACTCAGCTTTTATATATAAAAAATAGTGTACTGGCCAGATGTATAAATGCCTTTGTTCCCACATAAGCTGGTATTGTGGTGTTCTAGAAAGGAGGGGCCGGGAGCCCCTGTGCTCCTCAATCATGCTTTCTTCACTTTAAAGGGATGTTGCCTCATGGACAGATAACCTTATGAACTTAGCAGGGGTTGAAATCTTGAATTCTGTTCAAGTGTTTTAGTCCACCTCCTGTCAGTATATACTTTGGAATTTTAACTGTAAACGTGTTCGTTCACATTTCTTTTGTGTTTGATGCCAGAGCCAGTCTTTGAGTTGGCGTGTAGTTTTGTGAGCTCTCCAAGTACAGTTGGAGCGTGGATTTTCTTTCATTCATCAGAAAAGAAGAATGGGTTCTATCTGGGCGAGTGTTGCAATTTTAGGTAAATAGCTCCTATCTCTGAAGGGTGAGTTCAGCTGCTGTGCCCCAGCAGAACCTGTCCAGCCTTGGAAAGCACTTGGATCATTACAGCCTCGAGCCGGTAGAGGTCTGGCTACTCCCAAGTGAGAACTGTGCAAATCTTGTCTTGCTCATCCGCCCATTTCTCTTTAAAAAAAGAGAAGAAAAGGTGGGGAGCGGGCTTAGTAAATATTACTTGTTTTTAAGTTACAGGAAACTTAACCTCATTGTGAGAACGTACAGGATTGGTTGTGTTGCCCATGGGAAAGGCTCCTGCCTGCAAGTGTCTAGGTTCAGTTCCTTCTCTTGAAGATGGAAAGAGTGCTTTTCTTTAGTCTTTAATAGTGTTGTCGAATGATTACTTGTATACAGCCAAGGACTCTTTGAGTGTCCCCCTCAGGATAGCTCAAGACTTCCTGTAAGTTCAATTAGACTGACTCATCTGATCTTCTCTTGACATTTTCTTGAAACGGGTGACGCTTAAACTAACACGGGTTTTTTTTTTTACTTGCCCTTGGTCGACTGTCGCTTTTTGTCTTGAGCTTTCTTTATGCTGTGCTTTATCCTGTGCTTGTCTGTGATATTCTTAGTGAGGGACCGTGGTGGGTTTTGTTCTTAGGACCACGTTTCAGTGCACTTTTCAGACCTCTGAAGGCTGCTTGTTGACATGCTGCATTATACCCGAAGGCTGGCTCTGTGGGACTTTTGCTCTGTTTCATGTTTTGCTCTGCACGGCCAGCTAAAGGAACAATAGTTGACATCACTTTTCTGTAAGGGACAAATATTTCTTGCTTTTTGAAATACTTTTAGACATCCATCTAGGAATGTGACTCCTCTGTAGAAGGTCTGTTTTTATTTTATTTTATTTTATTTTATTTTTTAAAGATTTTATTTATTTATTTGACAGAGAGAGAGATAGTGAGAGCAGGAACACAAGGAGGGGGAATGGGAGAGGGAGAAGCAGGCTTCTTGCCGAGCAGGGAGCCCGATGTGGGACTCGATCCCAGGACCCTGGGATCATGACCTGAGCCGAAGGCAGACGCTTAATGACTGAGCCACCCAGGCGCCCGAAGGTCTGTTTTTATTATAAAACACGTAAACGTAAGCATCTTGGAAGAGTTGGTATTCACAGCAAGCGCCAGGGTTAGATGGCATGAGAGATGGTCCGAGCCTTTCGGTAGGGTGGATCTGACTTGGAATCATTTTTGAATGTCGGGTTTTATTTCAGAAGTTTCTAATACTGGTAAGCATAACCCTGTCTTGTGAGGTCATTTGCTTTGCTCCTCCGAAACTTGCTTGTAATACTAGCTTTAATTTGAAACGCCTGTCCCTCTTAATCTGTTTGTACATTTGAGACCAGTAACAACCAGACTCCTCGTTTCCATCTTCAAGATATGAAAGTTATTTTTCCACTTTCATTACCTCGTGCATTGTCACCAGTTGTCACCCTTTGAGTTCTTGCATTCTCGTGGTTATTGCTGTTCCCCACTGGTTCTTACCGAGTGCCGATGTAGTTTGGGGCCTGGTTTGACAACACGGATAATTGTCCAGTGGTGGTGCTCTAACAGGTGTCTCCTTTTCATTCCAAGTCACCTAAAGATATAAAACTATAATCACACCTTACTCCATAAACCGTTGGAAGTAATTTATGCCCATAGCTCAAATACATTCATATGCTTCAATTTAAGAAACACACTATTTTTGATCTTTAGCATGCTGGAGTATGATACAGAGAACCTGAACTCTGAAGAAATTTATAGTTCTCTGCGTGGAGTTACGGAAGCCATTGAAAAGTTTAGTTTTCGAAGCCAAGAGGATCTGAATGAGCCAATTAAACGGGATGGCAAGAAGGACTGTGATATTGTAAGTATCCCCAGGCTAGCAGAGAACGGTATTTCAGTTAAGTGATAATTCTGAAGATTGACCACCGTGAATACTGAACTTCATCATTATTTTTATCTTGCAGTTAGAATAATATTATTTTAAGAGGCCCAAGGTAACTTTATAAAATTTTGAGTAACTCTCAGCTGTCTGTGAAAAATGTAAACTACCTTTTTCTGCCCTGTTTGCTTTTGTTTATCCCGGACATATTTTTGTTCCTGTGACGTGACAAAAATAGTAGGCCCGAATCGGACACCAACATGGCTTTCTGGAAGCTCTAGTCTCATGCAGAGGGAGGCAGATCAGTGGGAAATCAGTGGTGTGGCGGGGATTGGTCAGGGCTCAGTACTGAAGAGACATGCTGGGCCAGTCTTTGTGCTCAGGAAGGGTCAGCGGGAGAGATGTTTGCAGCCTTGGAGGTGCATGAAGCAAAGGGTCAAAGGGAGTTTGGACAAATAGGAGGGAGGCCCTGTGAGAAAGCAGGGAGATGGCAGTGGGCACGGCAAGATTTCCCTTTGTGGGTGGCTGATGTGGAGAGAGTGGGCATATCATGTTGGTGGCGAGGTTTGGGGAAGAGGCTGCAGAGGTTGGCTCAGGAAGGGCACTCACACCCAGGGGACTTTTCTGCCAGTGTCTTAACTTTACTCTGGCGTCAATGGAGAGTCTTTGAAGAATTTTTTAACCAGGGAAGCGGCATGGTCACACTTACATTTTAGAAAGATTGCTGTCACAAAGAATGCCTCTGGAGGAAGTAGGGTTGGGAGGGCATGAGCTGAAATACTAGAGTCAGAAGTCTGTGCCTAGGACTCTTAAGTGCTGGGGCAGTTTAGTGAGATAATATCCTAGAAGGAGAGAAAAAATGTATGTCATCCCCTTTGGAACATAATGAATTCGGTTTTGAATATATGTGACTTGAGGGGCCTATGGAATATCTGAGTATATGTATCCCGTAGGCCTTTGCAGGTACCAGTCTGGAGTTTAGGCTGGCCGTTCAGGCTGGGGATAGAGATTTGAGAGGCATTGACTAGTTGGCTTGATGATAACTAAAAAGTGAGTGAAATCAACCAAGTAAAGGGTAAGGACAAAATCCAAAGGATCATCAACACTAAGGGAAAGACGGAAGAAAAGGAGTTGAAAGAAAAGCTACAGGTTATTGTGTGGGAGACCAGGAGAGTGTGGTGTCAGAGAACTTAAGGAAAACTTCTGGGAAGGACCTTCTAGCCAGGGAGAGGGACCAGTCAGATGTGGAGTGAAAGGGCTCCATTGGATTTTTTTTTTTCTAACTGCATTAAATATGACCAAGTGGAAATTGAATTATTGAACAGGCTCAGAATTCAACATCTTAGCTGCTTGATGATCAGAGTGTTAGCAAAGACCACAGTGGATATAAAAATGCATTAAGTGTGAAAGATTTGGGAACTGGTATGTCTCTTTGGCTTGATAAGTGACTCAGTCTAATAAGACAGACATCCATAAGGATGAATGTCAGATCCACTGGGAAGATGGTTCCCAAAAGCAGAGATGAAAACATTCAACATGTGGGAAAAAGTCCATCCTTATGAGTGATTACAGAAATACAATAAACATATTTTTGAGGTTCCACTTTACTTCTAAATTGTTCCACTTTGTTTCGAGTAGAAATTAAAATATTTAATGCTAGAAAGGATATAAAAAACTAGTAGAATATTGGTGGCATGGGAACTTGATACAGTTGCTTTGGAGCTTAGTAAATTATATTTAGCATAAGTGATTTTTTTTTTTTTTTAAGAGAGATAGAGTGAGTGGTGGGGGTGGGTGGGTAGGGGGTGAAGGGGCAGAAGGAGAGAGAGAATCTTAAGCATGCTCCACGATCAGCTCAGAGCCCAACATGGGGCTTGATCTCATGACCCTGAGATCATGATCTGAGCCAAAACCAAGAGTCAGACACCTAACTGACGGACCCACCCAGGTGCCCCTCAGCCTAAGTGATTTTAAGTTTCATATCCTTTATCCGTAATATAACTTTTGACAATCTACGCTAAATAACAAACTCAGCAAAAGGAAAGAAAGTTATTATTTACAGTGTAGTTTATCTCAGCATTATCTATAACAAAACCCAGAAACATTAAAAAAAAAAAAGTAGAACGGGAATAGTTGAGTAAATCTTATTAGAACACAAATGGAAATAGTGGTGTGAGTAAACATTGTGGTTACAAACAGTGTTTGCATGGGACATTATTACACTGCGAGGAAAGCAAAATATGTGGGCGTGTATACTCTGATTCCCATTCCACGCAATCTGCGGGAAGAGAAGGATGGGGATAATACACAGTTTAAAAAGGAAGATCTTTTGTTTTGGTTTTTGTTAAAAGTGATTAGAATTAGGATGGGTTAGCTTTATTTTTAAAATGTCTGAGGTTTTTAAAACCCTTTCTCCTAAGTTCTTTCATTATAATAGTATGTGTTTTACTTTGAGAAGAGAGTTACAAGGAGAAAAAAATTAAATCGTCCATGAATCATCTTCCTACCGCAAGAAAAGCCCCAAGTCTTATTTTGTTCAGGTCTACCCATGGATTATATATCCTTTTAACATCTTAATAGTTAGCAGAAAATATTTTTTGGTGGTGTTAAAAACCAGATACATCCCAGCAGTTCCACTAGGTATGTGTCCAAAAGCATTAGAAGAAGGGACTGGGACAGATAGTTGTACCCCAGTGTCCGTGATAGCATCCTTCATGGTAACCAAACTGTAGAGAAGCAGTCAAGTGTCCAGCAGATAAATGGATAAACAGAATGTGATATATGCATCCAGTGGAGTATTATTCAGCCATAAAAAGGAATGTAATATTGACGCATGTTACAACATGAATGGACCTTGCTTAGACCAAGTGAAATAATTCAGAGACAGAAAGTAGAATAGGGGTGACCAGAGCCAGGAGGGGTGGGGAGTTATTATTTACTGGGTACAGAATTTTGGTTGGGGAAGATGAAAAGGTTTGCCCAACATATAATGTAGTGGTCATGGTTATACAGCATCTCGACTGTCTTTAATGTCACTGCATTGTACACCTATGAATTAAATGATTAAGATGATCTATGTATATTTTGCCACAATTTTAAACTGGCTTTTTTTTTTTTTGGCCACAATTTAAAAAAATGCGTAAGCACAAAGTGAAGGAGATATATCTTGTCAGCAGCACAAGTCAGACACATGCCCCAGCAGTCACCCAGTGTGGTCTGGCTGCCTGGAGATGGCTCTACCGTGGTTACATAGTCAGATGGTGGGGGTGAGGAAAGTGAGGGTTTGCTTTGTTCCCGGCAGTTGGCCCACACTAGCTTGGTTGTACTGCCGCCCTGCAAAGGGAGCCAGACAGGCCGGTCAGTGCTCCTCAGGAGAAGGGACCCCCTGGGAGTGAGGGGGGAGTCTTGTACACCAAAGTACAAGGGCTAAAGGACACCAAGGGTTTAATTTGTTAAGGACAAGTCTCAGAATTATATTAGGAATGAGGAGCCTGGGTGGCTCAGTGGTTAAGCGTCTGCCTTCGGCTCAGGTCATGATCCCGGAACCCTGGGATCCAGCCCCACATCGGGCTCCCTGCTCCGCGGGAAGCCTGCTTCTCCCTCTCCCTCTCCCCCTGCTGGTGTTCCCTCTCTCGCTGTGTCTCTCTCTGTCAAATAAATAAAATCTTTAAAAAATTTTTAAAAATTAAAAAAAAAAAAGAATTAGGAAGAAAAAGTTTCAGAAAATAGCAACAAAGCCTATTCTTTGACCCAGCATAAAGCCCAGCTGAGAGTCACAGGTGTCCAGGGGGTGATCGGCCTCTCGGATACAGAGTTCTCCGTTGCTAGAGATTAGTAAGCATTATTTGGCTTTGGGGGAGTATATACAAGGATATCCTGGATGGTTGGGCTGCTTTAGATCTTGTGGTGGTCTTCGGGGGAGCGTCTCACGTTGGTGGTGTGTCAAGGCCTCACTGAGAAAATCCTGCTGTTCATGAAGAAATGATGGGCGGCGGTGCTGGTACACGAGATTCCTGGAGAAATGTTTGAGTAAAAGTCATCACCAAGTACAAAGTAAAGCAGCCTTTATGTGTAAATGAATGAATGAAGGGGTGAAAACATAAGCATATTCGGTTCCCGGTAAGGTAGTTTATGGATTAGATGTTTGCAGATTGAAATTCTAGTAACTGTCCTTCCGTCGGTGGCCAGATTTCAAGTGCAAAGTCTGGCTCTCCTGATACTTCTGAAGAGGTAAAGGAAGAGCGTGTTCAAAGTCCTAAGCAGGAACTGCCCGTGTGCTGTGCTTCAGGTGTCCCGCGATGGTGGAGTTGCCTCGCCTGCCACTGAGGGCCGGGGAGGCAGTGATGTGGTGGAAGGAGGCAGAACAGCTCTGGATAACAAGACGTCCCTCCTCAACACCCAGCCTCCACGCGCCTTCCCAGGGCCGCGGGTGCGAGACTACAATCCGTACCCCTACTCCGACACCATCAACACCTATGACAAGACCGCCCTGAAGGAGGCCGTGTTTGATGATGACATGGAGCAGCTTCGAGACGGTTCGTCTTTCTTTGCTTGATTCTGCCCCCCTCCCCCCGCCCCCATCCAAAAGTGCTTTCTGTGGGGCTTTCTCCTCTTGTCAGAGCAGCTCTGGGCCAACAGGGCAAACCTAAATGGACGTACTGGGTCTGCTCTGGTTAGCCGCTTGCTCAGCGGCTGCTCACTGAGCTCCTGCCTTGTGCTTAGGCATGGAAGGCACAACCGTGAGCGAAAGTATGCACAGTGCCTGCCCCCCGGGAGCTTACAGCCTCCTCCCGGAGACAGTCATGAAGTTGGAGTCACACAGCTCTCCGGAACTCGGAGCTGTGACACCGTGCGGTGAAGGCAGGTCAGCTGTGCCCATGAGGGAAGGCTTCCCCGAGGAGCCGGGGCCTGAGTGCAGGTCAGAAGCACGAGGGGAGTAGCAGTTAGCTACTGCTGTTAGGGCGCAGAGGCCCCTGCTGTGCCCTCTCCCAGCCCTGAGCTGTGGGAGTACGATCCTGTAGCAGCCACTGAGAGGCTCCCTTCTTCTGTCACCAGCGTTTTAACCAGCTCTTCCTGGAGTTGCTTTAGGTTGACTTCTGTCCTGTGGTTTGGAGAGAGGGAATCTGGCACATACTGAGCTCCTGTGTTAACATGGGCTTGCTGCTGAAATCAGTGTTTTACCTGTATATCTAATGAGGTAGAGTGGATTATTCCTATTTCACAGATTAAAAATCTAAGGGTCCGGAAAGATTAAATTACTTGTCCCCAAATATACTTGGCATGGAACAGAACTAGTCTGCTGTCTTGTTTTGTTTTCTGACACTTGTGTTAAGACCCATTATCCATTATTGAGTAATAAGTGAGTCAAGTATGCGTTGGTGTGATGGTATTTTCATCAGGAACTTAATTATTTCCTTTTCACCTGATTGTCATGTTCACTTAATAGTCATTTTTAAAAAATTATATATTCTCTTTGTTTCCAAACCTTTTGTGTTTTAATTTTGAATGGAGAATTAAATCAGAACCCTGAATTAGAACTGTAAACAGCATTCAATGTGTGTAATGAAATGGGTAGCTTGCTGGGGACAAGGAGGCAAATGAGGCACAGTCCCTGGCCTCAGAGAACTCAAGGCCTGTCAGGGGAAACAGACTTATCACAGTGGGCCTGGAAAGAGGGGCCACACTAGAGCAGATGCTGGTTTCAGTGGGGATACAAAAGAAGGAAGACTGGGGGGCGCCTGGCTGGCTCCCTGGCTGTCTGCAGAGCTTGTGACTCAATCTCAGGGTCGTGAGTTCAAGCCCCACGTTAGATGTGGAGCCTCCTTTTAAAAAAAGAAGGAAAACTGTGCTCTTTCAGTGGCTCAGACAGTGATGGGATCCTAAGACAGTAGTGAAGTCCTTCAGTTGTCTCAAGGCACATCCCCTGGCTCTTACTTGCTGATTGCCAATGGGTAGCAGCTCCTTAAATTCCCAAGGGATCCCCGTGTGTGTTTCCGGGGCCATGGGCTAGGGGTATGATGGTTATTATGAATTGCCCTTTCGTGGAGTAGGGAGCTGTTTCCTTTCATTGCTCATAGAATTGATAACATCATTTAAGTTAACCCATTTGTAGCTCTCGTTTAAGATAGAATAGAGATTGGACTGGGTGTTGGTTGTTATCTGTTCACCATCTGTATACTAAAAGGCTTAAAGGAAAAAAAAAAGGCTCAAAGAGAAAGGTGGGAATGCAGGGGGGAAAGATCAAGTTCTTTAACATTTCAAACTTCCTGCGTGTGTGTTCCCCTATCTTAGATGCTAAAGAAAAAAAAAGTATGCAAATACAAATTTAAGTAGTTTCTAATGATTTGTCTTTGCCTTTTCATCCTTTGTATTGAAAGGGAATGTTCAGAGTTGAGGTCTCTTGAAAGAACATGGGAAGAGAAAGGATGTCTTCCATGGTTGAAGTCCCTGCGAGTAATTTTGCTAAGTGATCTTGGCAAGTTTAGTCTGTAAATAGTCCAAGAATGGTCTAAACATCTTGATTAGTATTTTTGTTTTCTGTGCTGGTTACTAAGCTCTGGATATTGGGGCAGGGAAGGGATGTTAGAGGATCAGCTGTGACGGTGAGGAGGGCCCTGAGGAAAATGTGCGTGCTTTGGTGGGTGTGATAGCGGGAGGGGGCTGTCCGGTGGCAGCCTGACTTCAGACTGCTGCGCTGGGGATAGACTTGGCGAAAGAAGACCATAGAGGAGAGTCTATTAGATGGTTCCTCCTGTTTGTCTGAAATGGGAGGGGGCAAAAGATGGTAAGGAAGGGTTAAAGACATTGATGCCTGTTCTCACATCTCTGTTTTCACAGCTGGGGTGGTGGCCTGCTGAGGGTATAGAGAGTGAGGTGGTTCAAAGCCGGGTGGAGGGCATGGCAGCAGGGATGGAGGAGAAGCTGCCTCTGGAAGAGCAGGGAGCCAGTGGAGGGGAGCTTGAGCATCCCCAGGGGCGCGTCCCCAACCGGGGCTTCCCTTGTGATGTGACTTGTCTCGGTGTCTCCCCAGTACCCATTGACCATTCTGACTTGGTGGCTGACCTTCTGAAAGAGCTGTCCAACCACAACGAGCGGGTGGAGGAACGGAAAGGTGCCCTGCTGGAGCTGCTCAAGATCACCCGGGAAGACAGCCTGGGCGTCTGGGAGGAACACTTCAAGACCATTCTGCTCCTGCTGCTGGAGACGCTCGGGGACAAAGATGTGAGGCACTTTCCTCGTCCTTATGTTTCCCCCCTTCCCGGGGGACGGGTTATTGAGTCCTGTTCTCCTTGAGTTTGGCTTCAGCTTTACTTTCTGTATTGTGCCTACTATTTACATCAAAACATTTTTCAGATATTTTCTGAGCAGCAGTTAGTGAGGTCATGTTTTGGTCAGAGACAGGCCCCATTCCTAGCTTATTATATGCAAGTTTTTTTTGTAATCGGGTTTGTAGGACCTGAGGGAAACTTGTTCCTGCTTCAGGTTACCTTGTCTAACACAAAATTTCCTACGACTTTGTTAGCATGGAATGTTTTTTTACAACGAGCTCTTTTCTGTGTGAGTTTTATGTTTCATGTGTAATTGAGAAGGCGGCAAGTTCATTTTTTAAAAGACCCTACTAGATGCTGCCTTCCATGAAATTCTGTGTAGGTTCAGCCCTGCATATGTGAGCAGTTCCGGTGGTCTTCATTGGTCAAGCAACAAGTTCTGGAAGTGTGGATTATTTTCTATTATCTTCTTTATTATTTTTAAAATGAAAAACCCTCTTTGCCCTGTGACATTTAAATGTGGCCCACAAGGCATTTGTACCATGCCTGGTCTGTAACCCACCCATGTTCATTATCCATCCACGTAGATGACTCTGACAGGAGGGAGCAGCCTAGTCAGAGCCCTGCCTTCACCCATCTGTGTGCTGGTCCCTTATGTGGAGACAGCAGTAAATGTTGGGAATTGTCTGAATTATACTCTAGAAGTAAAAGTCCATCTCTGTACTGGGCTTTGTGTAGGCTGGCAGAAACAGCAACGAAGTAGGTGTGGTGAAGAGTTCAAGGGCAGGACCGGGTGGATTTGGAGGAAGCTCAACACAGCCCACGGTATAGGTCACACTCAGGGTCACGTTGATGGTGACTTTGTTGGAAGACAGGTGCGCGTGGGGCTGGGGAGTGTCATGGTGACTGATTTCTTTCATGCTTCGGGTTAATGATTTGGTGTACAGATAGAAGGACAGTGATGAAAGGGCTGTATTAACTTCCTTACACAGAGTATTGGCTGCTGAAGCCCGTCTGCTTGGTCAGCCTTCGTTGGTAGATAAAGTGATGTCACGTAGAGGGCAGGTGGATGGTGTGTTAGTGTGTGAACTGTACAGATGAGCGACGAAGAATCAGGATGTACTTTTTGGCTCTGTTTGGTGTAAACCCCATTTTCTTTTATTGAGATTAGGAGTCTGTTTGAAATGGCTTTCCTCCAAATGGTGAGACTCGGGCCTCAGACAGCTCGAGGTGTGTACACATCCCCTTCCCCTGTGATCTCATCACACAGAAGGTCGGGAGTAACGACAGGTCTGCGGCTGTCTTAGTCCACAGTCTTACAGGTCGTGTTGATGAAATGGTTACATGCTTTTTACCCGTTCTTTGTACATTTTACAAACGGGTAATTTGCATATCTAAGCCTCAGGAAGTCTGGAAATCCCCCAGGAGATGGATAATGAACTTAGATGTATCGTCCTCGTCCAGTATCATTTGGTCCTCATTTGGCTCATTCCAGAAACCTTCATCAGGTCCCTCTTAGGTGCTAGGCCCTGGGAACGTCAGCATAGGCACAGCGCCTGCCTCCTGGAGCTGGCCCCTCAGCCTGGGCCACATAAGCAGTGGGACCTATGTTGGGGTTCCAGCAAGGTGCCGGGGAAGCCCAGGGCTGGGTGCTTGGCTCTGCTGGACGCTGCTGGCTGGCATGTTCACTGAAGCGCTGGGTAGCGTTTGCTAACATCTTCCTTTCCTTTTGTACTCCAGCATTCCATCCGAGCACTAGCATTGAGAGTTTTACGGGAAATTCTGAGAAACCAGCCAGCAAGATTTAAAAACTACGCCGAGCTGACCATCATGAAGACTCTGGAAGCCCATAAAGATTCCCATAAGGAGGTGAGCCAGGCCTCTGGTCTAGGAGTGCTGAGCAGACGAGTCTGGGGTGCACTGAGGATGTGGGAGGAGAGGAGGAGTGTGGATCACTGTATGGCCCAAGACAGGGAGTCGCTGCCTTTGAGCTGGGCCCCGGGCCGTGATACCGGGTGAAGATCCCACTGCTGGTGTGACGGCTGAGCCCAGGTGCAGTGGAGGGCCTGGTGCCACTTGGTAGGTTCCTGATTGCCTTTCCACCTGTACAGAAACTGGCCTGTTCTGCTGACCTGTCCCTGAGGGATTTCTCACGTCAGTGGTTCCCATTGCTGTGGGTCAGAAGAAGGGGTGTAGGGGTCTGCCATTTCCTGGTGGCGTTCAGCACCCACCAGACTGGTGTTGGGAGATCAAGGTTGGCTTGGGAGACACAGATGTGCGAGTGCTAGGACCAGGTCTTCCTTGTTCCACAACTTCAGACAGGTTCTTTCAGCTTCCAAGCCTCAGTGTTCCTTGTGTGTAAGATGGAGGTGGATATGATCAGTTTCTCATGAGAATTAAATGAGAAGTCACTGAGGGTTCCTGGCCTAGTACGTGTTGACAGAGATGCTACAGCATGTCGGTCTTCCTCCCTCTCCTGCCCTCACCTTGTGCCCCTCTCTGCAAGATCTGGATGAACGGACATAGTCGTGTCATGCCTCTCCTCCTAGCTCCCGAACACATAAGATACTAGGAAACTGTCCTGGCACCTCAGAGGCCTACCAGGGAGCCGGAAGGACATGTTTCTGTGCCCCGCACACTTAAAACCGGCCTTAAGTGGACACTCAGTAAATCCTCATCCACTTGCTTCCTGAAGTGTCCCGCCCCCATGGCTCACCAGTTCTTTGAGTGTCTAGAGACCAACAGGGAAGATGGATGGAGCTTTCTAAGTACAAGTGATCTCAGCAGCCGATAAAAGGTACTATGGAAAATAGGGCTGTGTACTTAGAACTCTAGAAAACTTGAGTGGGTTCGACCCCAGTGACACGCAACAACTTGCTCAGGTCATTCTCTCGGCTCCCACGTGACTCTCACGAGCACCCTCGTGGATTAAGGAAATTGCAGTGAGAGCAGTTCTTAACATGTCTACAAAAAGAATCCAGACCCTAAATCATGGTTTTTCTCTGCTTAGCAGTTACGTGGCTGTCAAACAGTGACAGGTCCGACCTCCAGAAATCCACCCCACGATAGCAGACTCATCAAAGGTCTGGGTCTCATGCTCTGTCTAGGCATCTCCACCTGATAGTCCTAGCACAGCACAGGTTCGTAAGTGATAGATATGTCTCAGACGGATACCGTATGCTTCCAAAATCTGGCTTGGTTGTGCGATAGTGAAAATCACTCATGTTTGAACAAAACACTTGCCATTTACAATAACTCATTTAAAAAATGTGAGGACCAGATGAGCTAATACAGTCAACACCATTACTCCTGAGCAAGGAAAGAGGGTCCAAAAAATGCTGTAATTTGTCAGGTAATACGTGGCAGTTACTGGCAGAACCAAGATGTGAAACAGGTCGTGTGTCTCTTTTAAGGGGCAACTGGCCTGGCCTTTGCTGGCTTTTTTTTTTTTTTTTTTAAACCATAATAGCTTCTCCTTAATGAGAATACATGATCACAAAATGAAGTAAGGGGTGGCTGGATGTCACAGTAGGTTAAGCATCTGACTCTCGGTTTTGGCTCAGGTCATGATCTGAGGGTCGTGAGATCAAGCCCCGCATCGGGCTCCACACTCAGCAGGGAGTCGGCTTGAGATTCTCTCCCCATCTCCCTCTGCCCCTCCCACTGGTGCTCTCTCTCAATTTTAAAAAAGAAGTAAAAGTGGTATTTTTTTTTAAAGATTTTATTTATTTATTTGACAGAGACACAGCGAGAGAGGGAACACAAGCAGGGAGAGTGAGAGAGGGAGAAGCAGGCCTCCCTCGGAGCAGGGAGCCCGATGTGGGGCTCAATCCCAGGATCCTGGGATCATGACCTGAGCCGAAGGCAGATGCTTAACAACTGAGCCACCCAGGCGCCCCTAAAAGTGGTATTTATTTTGCAAATATCTGATATCAGTTGTTTCCTCAGGAGAGGACATACTTAGAATGTGGCATCAAGGTGAAACTAAGCCATCCAGAGTATGTGGCACTTACTGTCCCCTTGGAAGATGTCTGTGTTTAAAGTCGGCATCCTGATCTTAAACTTTGAAACTTTGACAGTAGACCCTAGGAAGTACAAGTGAGCAGAATTAAATAATCTGTTTACTATTAGCAAAATGAGAAATGGAGGAGAGAAAGTTCTTAGGTGTAATGGCCTTTCAATTGCCTAAGGGACAGAAGCAGAAAGTATCTGTTGCTTAAAGTAAACTTACCAGCGTTCAGTTGACATGGAATTCAAGTAACCCAGGGTTTGCACTCTGCTGTCACTGATTGCCTGATAAAGCAGGTGGGGAAAACACTGTGTTCCACATAAAGGAGTGCCTGTATTGGCCCGTCTCCCCTGCTTTGCATACTTTAGTACTCACCTTGACTCGGTGCCCTTGTAGTTCTCCTTATGAAACTTCACTCTGTCACTTTGCCAGAAGCTCCTCACTTGGGCACCTGTGTGTGTAGGTTTTAGGTGTGGTTTTTTTCTTTTTCTTTCCCTTTGAAATTCTTGTAGTCTTTCTCATATTTTAACCAATCTGTCTCCGTTCCCCGTTCTTGTGTTTTCAGGCAGAATACTTAGGTGCACATCAAGTTTGTGTTGTAGCCATCTTGTTGGCAGAGAACATCGCACACGGTATTTCTTTAGTTATGTTTTCTCGTCACTACATTCGGGCGTTATTCAGACATTGGGAAGGATCCAAAATGTTTCTAGACCCAGTGACTAATATATCGGTCCTACAGAGGCAGAGTCTGCTCTCCTAGCCAATTAGTACTTCCCAAGTGTGGTCATTCCTTTGAGCGCCCCGGAACTTCCATCCCGTAGGGAGCTAGTTGGTTTTGTATTCACAGACAGAGCCCAGGCTTTAGCAGGACATGAAGGACATGAGACCTGGCAGGCTGGCACAGCTGCCCTGAGACCTTAGCAGCAGATGTCCTCCCGTGCCCGCTGTGGTGGTGGCCACGCCCCAAGGCACCTTGTGATGGCACCGGGACAATAGCAGTGAGAGAAGAGGAGTAGGGTAGGGCTAATGATAAGATGGCTTGTTTTCCCATCCTTTAAGCCAGGGTCTGTTTTCTCAGGGTCTTTTAAAAGGAACCATGCATGTAAAACACTTTTGCTACACACTAAAAGTGTACCAGTTACTAGATCTCGCTCAGGCATCACCCATCTTCAGCCAACACAGACCTGGTTAAGCACCATGGAGGATTTGGATACCAGTTTAGAGTTTCTATTTGAGACGTTGGTGTGGATCAGCTTAGAGATGTTTTCCTGTTCCTTATTTGAATGAATACATCTCCTTCATTATCTTAACTCCTTGTTTTTATGTTTTTAGTAAATAAACTTTGCTACAGAGTTTTAACGTCTTGTTAATGAAGTCACTGTGGTTTTCAGGAGGGTTAGCTTGTAGCGACCATCTTGAAGAGCCCAGCCTTGGTAGTGACCCTCAGAAATCTGAAGCCCATTTTCTGTTTTGAAAGAAAACATCGGTTTTACCTTTTCTCGTCTTAGAATTTGCAATCTGTTCGGGCTGGTGCTGATTCTCTCCTTCACCGGTGAAGAGGGGATTTGATAAGAGAATCGATGGTACGAATGGATTCTGGGGTCAGCGTCGGGGGGGATGACTCCGGAGGCAGGAAACCCGGTTTTCAGTCCAGCGTGTGTCCTGTCCAGCTGTGTTGTTGGGTCTCATCACCTCTGTGTGACCCTATAAAGCATGAGCATCACGAGACTCAAAGACATAACAGTGTGGACATGTCATATGCTCTGTTAATATTATCACGTGAAACTGGTTTTAGGCATCCTTATCTGTTTCAGAAGCACCTCTTTCTTCGTAAACAATTGATGTGCCGATTATGATTCATTTTAGACACATTTGATGTAAGAATAGCTGTTGCTCCCAGGAATTTTGTCTGACATATAATCCCCCAAATGTGGAAATGTTTGGTAAATGTTTATTTAAAGTTGAAAGAAACACCAACTCTGTGTCTTGAAGATGTTCTATAATTGAAATTCTTGGATTGTTTCCTGAACTTGCCCTTGCCCGCGTTAGTGAATATTCAGTTTTATTTGTCTATAGCATCCTTTTATCTGCTGGACTGGGTCACCAAACATTTCTTGCCATGCACAAAAGTCTGGGGCTTCCGGACATCACCGTCTGGCATTGGGTGGTTTGACTTGTTTGGGGAAGTTGGATTCTGAGATAAATATAAAACAGTTTTTTTCTTTTAGGGGTTTTGAGCTTAAAGCATTTCTAGTTAATTTTATATTTTATGATTTCAAGGAATTAAAAGTAAAGCCAGACCAAAATTATTTTTAAAATAAACATTTCGGGAACTAGCTTCTTGCTTCTGCTTTACCCTGCTGGCGTGGCGTGTCTTACGCAGTCCTTTTGACAAATAGGGCCAGAGAAAAGCAGCAGTGTGTCAGTGTGTCACGTTTTATTTTAGCAAGCGGATAATTCTCTTTCAAATACCAATTAAAATCACTAACTGACCACGACTAAACCCAGACCCTCTGCACTCTAGAATGGTCTTTGGAAGCCTCCCAGGGCAGCAGCCGCTGTCAGTTGGCTCTAGAGAACAATGAGTTGTGTGAACCTGGAGAAATTACTTCACCTCTCTGGACCTTGGTTTTTCTTATCTGTTAGCGCAGGGAGTGGACTAGACGATTATCTGTGTCTCATCCAGCCTCACGGTGCTAGAAGTTGCTATTGAGTAAGAAACCTAAACCTTTGTAGGTCCTAAATATGTACTTTTTCCTTGATTCAGTCTTGGGATGTGGCTAGAAACCCTATTTCCTTTGTACGTTTTTGCTGCTTAACAGAAAGGCAAAAACAGAAATCTATATATTCATTTAAAGGT